AGATGAACCTGCATTGGATATTGGATATTGTCCGGATACGGCATGGAGATATGGGGCGAGCTTCTCGGTACCAGGAAACGTTATATGGAACTTCTTTACGCGGGTGGAGCTGATACCGCGTCTAGCACGTGTAGCCTTTTTGCAAGGGCCGTCATGCAGTTGCCAAGGTTTCGTGAATGTGATGAAATCGGGGAGTGAGTTTCAGGTTTTCGGCTATGAAATTGTGTTGCAATTTGCGAGCGAGGCTCCGGAAGTGGGATGTCCTCCGTGTGTGGATCCGAAATTTCGACGGAACGGAAATGTGAAGGTCGGCGAGTAGATTTCGGCGATGATGGGTCACGTAAAGTTATGACCTCCTAAGTAGAATCTACTCAGGAGATGGACGTTACAAGGGTGACTTGCAAATGTGCCAGGTAAGAGTCCAGAGATCATGAATATAACAGACCATTGCCATGCAATAGCTGCTTTCCGTTTCGGTAGGAAGATTTGACTCTCCCCCCTGCCGGAAAGCTCATCTGTGTATAGAGAAATGTCGAAGCCTCTTATACCATTCATTACTCTATGTCAGAGCACAAGCAAGTACTACACACCCACATGGCTTATTTTTTGTCGTTTCGATATGAATAGCTGGAAACACCGTTGACTGATGTCAAGAATATTTCGCAATTTAAGGCAAGATGACTTTGCGGTGACACGAGATGCTCTTGGTGTGTTCAGAGGCATACATCCATCCAGTGGTGAGTTTCTTGGGGAGTTCACGCCCTTCCTGTATTGATCAAGTGTGTAATCTGTTATATGAGCACACATCTTTCCACCCAAATACTAGTTCAAGTGAACGAGATCAACTGGATGGCGCGTTGTGGGTTTTAAGCAGAGGTTTGACGCTGTATTTGGGAGTTGATAGTACTCTGTTGTGTCGCGAAGAAGTTTTCAATGATGCTGAAGACGGGACAGTAGACTTTCGTATATGAGTATTCCTCTGGCGAACATCCAAATTTCGGGAATAAATCTGCGTGTGTGTTTGTGCTTGGCCGAGGATAGAATTTCTGTGGCATGGATCGTGATGCTTGAAAGAGTTGCAGAAGGAAGTGAGATTTTGGATACAGCTTGCTAGCTAGCTGTGTGTGGAAGATTATGTATCTTGCTTCGATGGAACTATCGGTATGCTCTCAGAGACGCTGCAGTCCACCATTGCAGTTCATTAAGGGTTCTAGATTGCTTTGCTTCAACCGGTTTCGTCCGGGAATTCAAATGTTACAATATCTTCCGGCTATGCATGTCTCTTCCGCCGTTTAGACATAATTTTTTGGGAGGCTTGGGAATCGACGCATATTCCACCACTAATTGAAGATAAATTATGCTTTCATACCCTTTCAATATTCTTCAGCCTCAAATACAGCTCAAGCGGGCAGCCTATACTTGAGTACTGTATATATTTCAAATATAGCATTTTGGAATTCAACCAATAAATGTATTCAATTTGACCAAAATTCACTTGAGGTTTGCATCGGTTCGGGATTGCTTCCACACATACCACTCTTCTTGAAACTCTCAGAATATCTACCTTTACATGGTAGAAAAGATACGTTTCAATTCATTCAGCCAGATCTACCATCTACCCACAGCAAAACAATGGAAATATGGCATCAGCCCAAAACGCAAGGTTGATAACCACTACCTGCCAAGTGGCATATAACACACATATCTACATACTGGTTGTCATAGATGATTTCCCAGAATCGTACGAATACGTACTACATGGCTGCTCAAATACGCAGCGCAATAGGTAGGTAGGCCCTGTGCCTCGACGCAGTGATTTCGCAGTTGATATATAGATCAGAAGCATTTTCCCTACTTTCAGCACGAGACAATGTTAGTAGTTCATCATCCATCGACAAATGACAACTTCGGAGGAATCGCTGACTAGATTTGCTTTTAGTTAACGATGCGCCGATGTCTCATTGCCAGAGACGGCTTCGTTAAGGAGCCCGAGCTTATGAATGAACACTGGCAGGCAATTTCAATGCGTTTAATACGGCTACGCCGGAGGACTTTCTTTTGCGAATTGAGTGATATCTAATGGGTGGATATAGAGCACTAGTTATACTCTAGCTATTGTTCGTGTCTGACTGACTGCTTAGATGAAAATGATTTGAGATTATAGAACGGCCATGGATGTTTTTGCTAGCACTGCTCTTTCACATCTCTCCCATCTGGGACTGTAACGCGTGGTGCTTGTTTAAGCGAGTAATAGCGAGACATTCTGTTAAAGAATGATGTATGATTTTGTATTTATTGGCGATTCACTACTACGTCTGTGTAGCTGTGTTTGGATATTGTATATAATTATTATTTATCTAATGAAAGAACGGAAATGAGAGGTGGTTATTAAGAGATATTTGATCTATAAAATACCTGGCCATCACAAAAAGGATTTGGTTATTCTCTATTTTAGACTAGTCTAATAATATACCAAAGTAATCCGTGATATAGACATCCTCAAAACCTGTTCATTAACCTAAATTTCAGAGAATATAAAGTATATCGGTCGTTTATTTCGGTATAGGAGTTCGAGGCTATCGTGGAGATAATTGGTTATGGTATATTAGATTACTTACAGACCCTGCTTTGCTTTTTGCTTTCTACAGAGAGAGAGAGGGTTAGTTTTTAAGAGCAGCGAATGGATATTTGCCTTCTTGATGACTGTGGCTATTCGGTATTCTTGGTATGATACAGTATCATCATCCGTTCTTTTGCTATCTTCAGATACACACGAGGATGGTCTCATTGGTCTTTACTGGTTTTTGATATGACTGAATTTGAAAGGGGGGGGGTTGGAGTCACCGCTATCTTTGATTGTACGATTGTATATGTGAGTGTAGATGGCTCTATGAGTGGATACAGGAAGATATGAGTTTACTTGATGATAGAATACAGGTAGATGTATCATGTGTTTCCATATCTTCAGAGCACCTTAATCCTAATTCTGTCAGATATCCGTATGGTATGGGATAATTGGAATTCTGGGTTGCGACTGAACAAGATAACATACTCTGTAGAAGTTTTAGGCGGATTGAAGGCAGATTGAAGGCAGATTGAAGGTATTGTCTTCTTCCTGGTGATAGGACATATGCACCAAGATTAGGTTCGAAGCAGAAGGGGGAAACTCAAAATATTGCAAGGAACGATTGGATCAATTGGTTGATTATTTGATATGAGAACGTGGGATATTTCTTTGGTTCTCCCTCAATTTTTCCACATCTTTCGAGTACCGGCTCTCTTTTGGGCGGTTTTACATGAGCAATCTCAACTTGTAAAGTATTTAAGATCCGAATTAGCACCACAAAGGTGAGAAGGAAGTTTAAGCATGGCGTTTCTTCCTTCAATCGTCGCGTTTCAAATATACTAATGTCTAATTTCACTAGATGAACTTTTAACTTCACATGTTTAAATGGAAAAGGCCATTCACGGATACCTGGAACATGTGCGATAACCTGCAAATGTATAAGGCTTACTTACGTTTAGGTATCCTGTCACGGTGACTTGGAACGAGTATTGAAATGGGAGTCCGACAAGAAAATGACTTAGTGCTTGCTATGGAGTGGTCGCCAGTATCGGATCAGATCAAGCTTGATGTCCTGGGAAGTGAGGATTTACAGCGCGCGGTTGAGAATGGTGATTTGGAGACTGATATACTTAGACTGTCGTACAATAAAACATGTCCCTCTTGGAAATTGTAGCTGAAAAGTAACTATCCGTATGTATATCTCGAAAAGTTGGTGAATCTGTATTCAGTGTAATACTTTGATGTAGGCGAACAGGCAGACCTAGCCGATGACATACTTCTACGCGAATCGCCTACTCGGGTCATTTTCTTTGCCATTATTCGAAACGATTTTAGCTTGACCAAACAGCTCGTGGGGCGGAATACTTCTTGGCTAGTCGAGAATCGCGAGTTACCATCTAGCCTGGTCCGGATGAATTAGTCAAGATAGTTTAGTCAGATGTTTGCAAACACCACGACTTTTATATATATAAACAGCCAGAAACTGTCGACTGTAGAGTATTCCGCCACACGATTTTAACTTTTTGACCAGCATCCGTTGGCCTTTGAAAGTATCATTATTAAGAGCTCTCGGACTGTAGTCAAATTACTACTCAGAAATAACCTTGATATACTGCATCATATTTACAGACCCAAAGCTTTAGCACAAGAACAAACACAGAGCAATAGAGATTTTAAAACAACAACAAACTATTCTTACAAAAGATAGTAATATAGCTTCACCGGTTTATAACTCGAGCCTAGGAACATACAGCTAATGGATCCTGAAACTTGTATTTGAGATCCATGGCAGTGAAAAAATCGAGCTGTATTTTTCCATTGTAACAGAAGAGCAACAAATAATGTGAGGATCAGTTAGTTATACATGGATTAGACAATACAAACTTAAGCACGTATCTAAATATGAATTTGGCGATATTAGTTGTAGAGTCATGCATATTTAATAGTTGTGAAGACGCGCAATTTCCTTTAAGTTTGCTTGTTAAATTGTTAATGCTGAGATTGTAAAACAAGCTTAATAAAATCAGATACAGTATAATATAGTGGGGGTCTAGTGTATTATCCAATCAGATATAGGCATTTATAAGCCTGAAAGCGCTAAGAATGGGAATCTTGGGGCTTATCCCAAATAGCCTATTCATCTCAAGTCAGATATGCAACAAAAGCACGTGACATAGCTCAAGGTGACAAATTGGATTTCGCAGTCAAACAGGGATAATTCAAGAATGTAACAAGGATTATTTGATCAGCGAAACCTTAAACCGATCATTGACATAAAGGCCTAAATGCTTACTTATCTACCGAGTACCTAGTGGTAAATAATCAAGGAAATGTTTCATTGAAGACTCAGTCTTCTTGTTATGAACCCTTCTTGTCAATTCGCCACGACTTTGCGGGAAATCTACTTTACTACACCCACAACTGGAGCTTTATAATGTCGACTTCCCCCGAGGAGGATGCATCAGCCTTGTTTGGAAACGATAGTGCCGCACCGCAAACGAATAAAACCACCACTTCGGCGCCTGGAGAAGGCAAAGAGAAAGGTGCCGAGAAAACGATATCATGTGTATCTTGCAGACGTAGGAAATTAAAATGCGATCGAGTAAAACCAAAATGCGGAACATGCGGGAGATTGAGACACGAGTGCGAATACCCAGAGAGGAGGAGGAACGTAGGAACAAAGAGGAGAAACATGAAGGAGTTGGAAGCTAGATTGGCACAAGTGGAAACCCAGCTGGTGGCAGAAACGAAACAAATGGCCGCCAACAACGCAGTTGAGATGAACACAAACGCGAACGCGAACGCGAACGCAGACCCAGATTGGGGTGCGATGAATATAGATCTGGATATGAATTTCGCAGATGAGGGACTACAAGACTTAGGATTTGATATCATGAATGGCAATCCTGAGGCTGGATCTTCGGTGCCAACTGGAGACTTTTTTTCCCAAGAAGTTATAAGTCTAGGGCTACAAGAGCCTCTGCCTCCCGAAAGCTTGATGGATGACTTGTATGTTTGGATCCTTAGCGAAAGGGATTTACATGTACTGATAGAGCAGATATCGAATATATTTCGAAAGATTTCATCCAACTTTGCCTATGATACATAAAAGTCGATTCTGTTCCGCTATGAATATGCCGGCGAACCATAAACCACCAGTTGCTTTGCGATATGCTATGATGACGGTAGCAGCATGTATGAATTCTGCCTTTTTTTTACGGCATACAAGCTAACAGAGCCAGCACTTTCGGATGAATATCAAAATTATGCTGAAATATTCTATGAGAGGGCTAGAAGATACGCTGAGATTATGGAAATGAAGGTTCGTCACATAACATCGTTTATGTTTTTTGAGGGGGTTTTAATACCAATTAGGGCCATGGTGAAGCTTTCGTATGCATACAATCTGTACAAACTTGGTCGATCATTAGTAACTACGAAGCCACAAATGCTTACTTCAGTCGAGCATGGATGAGCACCGGAAGATGGTAAGTTTTACAACGCGCATCGAAAATTCATACTTACAGCCTAGTGCACGACTATGTCATATGCTTTCGTTGCAAAGGCTTGATGCGGAAAGAGATATTTCAGGGAAAAGACTATTGCCTCTGTCAAGGGACTGGGTCGAATTGGAGGAGCGACGAAGAACATTCTGGGTAGCTTATTACGGTGACAGATGGTCTAGCTGCGCGACTGGATGGCCAATGATGTTTGATGAGCAAAAGGTATGTATGGAACTGTGCAAAAGAAGCATCAGACTAACACCTACAGATCAAAACCAATTTACCCTGTTCTAATGATGCATTTGACTTAGGTATTGAGGAGAAAACATGCTCTTTAGCTGAGGCATTGACTCCCGAGGGTGCTTCTACGATATCATCTTTTGCTGGGGTTGTCTTATCGGCATGCTTGTTTGGTCAAAATATCGAACACATGTTCAAAAGTGGCCCAGATGAAGGCGCCAACGATGTTGCCAATGGTGAATTTTGGAAGAGGCATAGAAAAATGGATAACGTGTTGTCTAGTACATTCATGTTTCTGCCCGATCATCTGAGATTACCTGCTGGACTGCGGGATCCGAATATCGTCTTTTTCCATATGAATATACATTGTTCAACAATGTAGGTATCATGTTAGTTGATGATGCTTATTGCTGGCTGACCAGAAAATAGCTGTCTACACCAAGGAGCGGTCTTGACTGCTGAACGAGAAGACCTCAGCCAATCGTTCATTCGGCAAAGTGAAGCGAGGAGTTTGATGGCGGCTGAAGAAATCGCGAATCTGATGCGCCTCATCAGTCATATGGAAGCATCCAAGGTATGTTCCATTATGTATGGGCTTCTCGTATAAAAGGTTTTAACATCATGTTAGATGAGTTCATGGATAGGGTTCTGTCTCTATGTTGCTTCTGGTGTAATTCTCCACGATGCAAGGAAGGATAGACCAAACCCTCAAAGTGCCAGCAATTTAGAATTTATGATGTCAGCTATGAAAGCTGTTGGGAAAAAGCATGTTATTGCAAGACACTTTGCCGCTCAACTCGAACTCGAGATTGAAACACAAGGATTGGATCGCATGAACATGGTAAACACTATCTATAAATTACATAGCGTTGGATCGTCAGTGGTAGACGACGCTGATCTCTGCGGCTTTCCTCGCGTCTTCAGACGAAGGGCGCAAAAGAATGACTCTTCTCGGAGCTCAATCGATATCAGTCAAACGCCATTAGTATCCACCATAACGCCCCCACAAAATACCCAGCAATCACGAGTCGACGCCATTTCACAAGCAGCACCTGTTGGTTTTGCCGTAGCAAATTTTCCTCCAAATACACATCGGCAACCGGATTCGGGAAGCGAGACGATTGATAGTGAGTTCAGTTGGCCTGTGACCGAGAAAACACCGTCTGCTGATTCTTCGGCTTCGAATACGGCATACTCATATCGAAATGCAAAACCTTCATTTCCAATTGGCTCAAATGGAAATTGGACCTTTAATCCGGATGCAACGCGCTTCGCTGTCGATCCATCAACGTTAAATGTCACGAATAAGGATGCGGATAACAATTTGCAGGAGAATGAGTTGTTGAATGATTTACTGAATGGCGTACCTGTGAGTTCATTATTTTCTGACTCTCGCTTCCATCATTTACCGCATAAATTCTCCTACGATGGACGGCCACTGACAAACTGGTGATTTAGTGGGATACTAGTTTTCAACTTGCTCGGGATTCACGGCACCCTAGCGGATAGTTTTTCGTGTATCACTAAATAAATTGTACAGTAATATATAGGAATCTCCAAAAATATACAGTCAGATTTCCACTCAGGAAGCATTTGACCTATTTCCATGCCACTCCACACACACGAGAGTGAAATTTGTCAAGTGCCACAGCGCTCCTATGTGAATGCTGTGAAGTTACGAGATCAATTTCCTAACAGCCGGTCTCAAGACCCCCCACAAATCAAGGGTGATTGTCCTTTTATTTGCGGAGTTATGCTAGAACGGCATATTTCTTATGTCCATACACTACCATACATCAATCTTCCCAATTCCCAATTGCCATTTTTATGTAAGGGTCAACTATGTATGTGGGTATACCGTATATCCATAATAAATAAATAAATAAATAGATATACCAATTACTTTAAAGCTCCTAGACTCCTTTCCCTTCCTTTCCCTTCCATTCCTTTCCTTTCCATCCCATTCCATCTCTCCACTCTAAGCAACCTCCTTCCTAACCTTCGTCTGAACTCTCACAGTCGGCAAAGCCCACCCCAAATATTCCCCCTCACAACCCAACGCAATCTCCTTCAGCGTCCGCTCTTCCCTCACCAAACACTGTTTAAAATCGACCCAGATCCTCAGAATATCTTCCGGTTTCATCTTTGGTTCCACCAACTCGAAGTTCTCGTGCCAGGCACCGCATGCGCGTTTCTGCTCCTTGATGATTAATTTGACTAGGTCGAGGTTTGGGAATGATCGCATGAGGGTGGCTTTGTTGTAGGATTCCCATGGTCGTTTGATTTCCACATCTACATGATCGATGGCGATGGTTTTGACGTCGTCGAGGAGGGTTGGGCTGGTTAAGAAGGTGCGGAAATCGCGGAGGGTTTCATCGTAGCCCATGGCGCGATGTCGAGGGAGGTAGAGGACGTCGATGGATGGATTGAAGTATATTCTTGGCTCGGAAGTATGCGTTGCGAAAGAGAGTGTGTAGATACGTAAAGCTTCGATTCGTGATTCGTGATTGGCTTGGAGTATGGCGGGAGGTGGAGTGATGGAACGACATCGATCGATGGTTGGATCATATCGAACTTCGACGGTACGAGTTTTGCAGGCATATCGCCAAACGAGGATTCGAAGTTCAGGTAGAAGGCTTGGGAAGAGATGGAAATCGCTGAGTGGCTCTTTGATTGGTGACTTCATCGTAGACTTTGGTCTGCATACCAATCGCAGAACTCGAGGATCCATTGATGGATTATTTTTGATATAAGAGGTAAACATTTTGAAATAAAAAACTCCTAGGAAATCTTTTTAGAAGGCTTAATATGAAAGTATTCAAAAAGAGACAAATTATTATTAAATTATGCGGTCAATCTCGAGCGCATATAAGAAAAGATCATTTAACCTTGAGAGAATTCAACGTATTAGAAGTGAAGTGAAGTGAAGTGAAGTGAAGGTAAAGTTGAAGTTGAAGTTGAACGATATTATACAGAACTTCACTCAAACTTTCTGAATGATACTTTGTAGAAAAGAAAAGACCTCGGAGGTTTAAGGAAGATAGATATATACGGGAAAGCCTCACTTATGACCAAAACCCCGATATCAATCTAGACTTCACTTAACTATCAACAATGCCCAAGTCAAAGAACAGAACACCGGTACCCATACATCTTTCATCCTAGCATCATTATAACATTGCCAAGACGAAAATGATAGATATCATAGTTATAAACAACTCAAATAAGAGATCAGATCAACTTATCTTCACTCAATTTAGCTATATGTTGATATATATCCAATAAGGATTGAGGACTGGTGTAAGTTGAAAAAGGAAAGTTGATGTTCGCTTATGGTAATTATAATGAAATCCTTGTTGGGCACAAGAAAGTGGTCTGATCTGGTGGATTTAAAGCTATTCTGTCAACAGAGGATTGGTTAATATCATTGATGGATAGAAAATTAACAGGGAAAAACCTTTTGTAGAGATTCAGAATGGGGTGACATTTGTGACAAGTCAAGGAATATGGGAAAAGGCATGAAACATCATTTAGGAAGATTTAGGGAAGAAGTTGTGAACCATGAAAATAATAGAAAGACCTGGGGATATAGGATATATTAATTGATGATAATGTACGGAGAATTTCAAGGTGACAAGGGGATTTTAAAAGGGGATTTCTGAGTTGTCCACATTCCCGCCAACCGGGTATAACCTTAGCCTTGTTTATATAAGGAAGAGATGGACAAGGCTGTAAGTCAATAACCCCACTCCACCCCTGAATTTTGAAGTCAAGACATTTGATCAGATTGATTCGGAGAAAAGTCATAATTTTGGAAAAAAGATCTCAAATAATGGCTTCAAAAGCTTCTATGCCCTCAGCCTTAACCTTTGAGCTCTTGGCTCGTTGCTCTGTAAGCTACCTACCATTATCTTCATTTTTCATCACTGCTCTCTAATTCCTACGACATTGTTAGACTACGAAAGCGAGAGCAGCCAATTTGATTCTACCTCATGGTCCGGTTCAATTACCCTTATTTATGCCAGTAGCCACTCAAGCATCATTAAAAGGATTAACTCCGCAACAACTGGAAGATACAGGTTGTCGATTGTGCCTGAACAATACCTATCATTTAGGTTTGAAACCGGGACAGGAAGTTTTGGACAAGATTGGAGGAGCGCATAAGCTACAAGGATGGAACCACAACATATTAACGGATAGTGGAGGGTAATATTGTCTACGCATTAATCCGCACCCCTTTTCCTGACAGAGTGTGCCTAGTTTTCAGATGGTCAGTCTCCTCAAGTTGGCCAATATCACAGAGGAAGGTGTGCGATTTTTGAGTCCGCATGATGGATCCCCTATGTTACTCACGCCTGAGCATTCCATGTCTCTCCAAAACTCGATAGGAAGCGACATCATAATGCAACTCGACGATGTATTGGTTACTACCTCCCCCGATGCGGAAAGAATGCGCGTAGCAATGGAAAGAAGTGTGCGATGGCTCGACCGATGCATTACTGCACATGCGAATCCGACTACACAAAATCTATTCTGCATCATACAAGGAGGGCTCGATTTAGATTTGAGAAAAAAGTGTTGTGAAGAGATGGTAGCAAGAGGGACACCAGGAATTGCAATAGGTGGGTTGAGTGGTGGTGAAGCTAAGTCGGATTATTGTCGTGTGGTAAATACATGTACAAGTCTCTTGCCAGAAAATAAGCCAAGATATGTTATGGGAATTGGATATCCTGAGGATTTGGTGGTCAGTGTGGCTTTAGGTGCAGACATGTTCGATTGTGTATGGCCTACAAGAACAGCACGATTCGGAAACGCAATCACCAAATATGGACTTTTGAATTTGCGACACGCATCTTATGCGAACGATTTTGGACCAGTGGAAGAAGGATGTGGATGCGTATGCTGCAGAAAAGGAGAGGGCAGTCTGGGCATTACCAGAGCATTCGTTCACCACGTAGCCGCGAAAGAGACAGTTGGAGCACATTTACTTACCATGCATAATGTCTGGTATCAGTTGGAGTTGATGAGAACTGCTAGGACAGCTATCATTGAAGATAAATATCCAGCTTTTGTGAAGAAGTTCTTCTCGGATCTTCATGGTGGTGAGAAATCAAAGTATCCAGATTGGGCAGTGGAGGCATTGGGAACAGTTGGCGTGGATTTGATGAAGTAATGATGAAAGATTTTATGCTCAATTAGAGAAGAATAGATACCCCATAGTAGAATATTATGAACAATATTTTGAACAATATTGCTGGAGAATACATGCAATGATATCCTGAAAATCAAGTAAATGAAGCCTACCTACCCTTCTCCCTCCTTAAGTAGTATGACTTGAAACGACAACGCTTTTAGGAATATCTGAGCATGTTGAGAGTGAAGTATAATATTTTACTGTTGTCTGAAGTTCAGACTCTTCTGATGTTCTTTCTCTATGAATATTGAATCTTCAATCTTCAATCTTCAATCTTTTCTAATATTTGATTTAGTTTCTCATAAAACATAATTTTACAAGGCTGAACCGTTTTATTGACATGGGGTCGCGATCTACGCCAATACCGGTACGCGACCCAAATACTTTTGTGCTGCATATTCCATCGTCATAGCTTCTCTTCTCTATTTGGAAACTTCGCGACATAAAGAATAGTGAAGTGAGTGAAGGGTCAAGAATTTCAGTGCAGAAGCTTGAGCTTTCGCCTGAAACACAATTCACTCATTTGTTTACAATGGCGTACTCACCGCCAGACAGTGATAGAAATATCAGCCCTTCACACGTTCCGTTGCCCCCCTCTACAACCAATAATGATACTCCATTATCAAATTCACTGAGACGCCTTTCAATTAGCAACACTTCTAGAACTGCTCTTCCGATTTCACCTCAAACGATTTCTCCAAGGGCCACATCATATAGTGGTCGTCCAAATCTCTATCCATCACCAAACGGTAGAAGCCCTGTTCTCCCAAGCCCCTTACACCGAAGTTCTAGTTCTGCGAGTTTCGACAACCGTCGCTCATCTACCTCAAACCTGCATCGAAAAACATCTTTGAGTTCCCTCAATGCTGAAGGATCAACACCATATAGAGATTCAACAAACAGAAGATCATCTACACAATTTGCACATAGATCGCCATCTGTCATGGGTAGTAAATCACCCCTCTCCCGATGGGAAGAAGATATGCGTGAACCTTCTCCACGGCATACTGCAGCATCTATCGCGAGTTCGCATTTCAAGTCGGAATTGGATTTACAAGATATGAATGATAGTTCAAGATCTGCAGAGACTATTGTTATACTTCACGACTCGGTTTATGGCCATCGCTTCTCCCGACCTAAAACTTCAAGGACTGGGTTGAGTACAATCGTTGAGAGACCTGAACGAATCCATGCTAGCATACTTGGACTATCTGTAGCATACGTTCGTCTGGGCGAAAGACATTCTGAAGGTCGTTATCCTCTCCATCCTGGTATGGAAGCTTCTGTGGTACCTAGCACACCCTTTCGCATACATAAAACTACTCGCCGAATGCCTTTATCCTCTCAAGCGATCACAAATGTACATGGAGTAAAATGGATGGAAGAGCTGAAGATCATGTGCGATAATGCAGAATCGAAGCTTGCTACAAATGGAAAAGAACTGGCTAGACCCGACATGAACAGAGGGCCCAATGAAGAAGTTCCTTCTAAGTTTCACGAGGGTGATCTTTATCTGTGCTCGGAATCCTTGGATGCTATGGAGGGTGCGTTGGGTGCTGTATGTGAGGGTGTGGATGCTGTTTTCGAAGGCTCTTCCACTGGACTGGGACCACGCCGAACTTTTATTGCAATAAGACCTCCTGGACATCATTGTTCAGCGAGTTATCCTTCTGGATTCTGTTGGGTGAATAATGTTCATGTTGGCATTTCACACGCTGCACTTACTCACGGATTGACTCATGCGGCTATTATTGATTTTGATCTTCATCATGGAGATGGATCACAAGCAATTGCTTGGGAACATAACACTCGCGCGAATGGATTAACTAAGAATGCCCTACCGTGGAAGAAGACTTCGATTGGCTATTTCAGTCTCCATGATATTAATTCGTATCCATGTGAGATGGGCGACGAAGAAAAAGTCAAGAATGCTAGTCTTTGTATAGAGAACGCACACGGACAAAATATCTGGAATGTTCACTTGCAACCTTGGAAATGTGAAGAAGAATTCTGGGAACTATATGGATCAAAATATTCGGTAATCCTCGAGAAAGCACGAAGCTTTCTACGTACACAATTTGATCGCCTTCAAGCATCTCCTAATGGACCAAAACCAAAAGCTGCCATTTTTTTGTCGGCTGGTTTCGACGCTAGTGAGTGGGAGAGTTCTGGTATGCAACGTCATAAAGTCAATGTTCCAACCGAATTTTATGCTCGTCTGACTCGTGATGTGGTTAAGCTTGCAGCCGAAGAAGGTACAGGGGTAGACGGGAGGATCATTAGTGTTCTCGAAGGTGGTTACAGTGATCGTGCGTTGTGTACCGGGGTTTTGAGTCATCTTAGTGGCCTGTCAGGAAGTGATCCTGTAGCTCATACCGAGAAAGCATATACAGGTCTGAACTTTGAAATGGATCAGAAACTTGGCGCAGACCCATTAAGCCCTGGACTGCCGTCTCCTTACGGGTTCATGCCATACGATCCATTATGGTGGTCTGTAGGTCGGTTAGAGCAGCTTGATGCAGCTATGAATAGTACACCAACCCCTGAGGAGCCAAAAATTCACAAAGCCACCGGTCCTCCAGGAAACTTTGCATCTCCTACACAATCGTTCATCGCTAAAGTTGTCAATACTCCTACGGCGCAACGTAGTGTATCCACCATGGGTATGAGAAATGGAGGTCCATCACCACGAGCATCAGTTCCTAGACCACCTACTCCTCCACCACCTAATGTCCATTGGACAGTTGCAGCTCACGAATTGAGCAAATTGCTTATTCCAACTGACAGGCAGACGAAGAGTTGTCAATGGGAAGATCTCGCGGCTGAAGCTACCAAAGCAAGAAAAGAACGCCAATCTATATTAGCACAACCCGAAGGTGCTCAACAACCTGCAATCCCAGAGCCTACTAACGCTAGAATGTCTTTAAGAACAAGAAAACCTGCACCGAAATTGGTGGAGAGTGTTGAAAAAAATGAGGTTAAGAAGCCTGCTGCAAAAACAAATCGTCGGAAGACTGTTGCCGGCTCGGCTGCTTCACCTGTACACAAAGTATGTAGTTGCCTTTTGTTATATAGTCCTATTCTAATAATACATAGGCTCCTCTCATCCCAAGTACGACTCAAGCACCCGAAGCGAATGTTACTCAACCAATGCAGCAGCCTGTTAAAAGACTGAGTTTGGCATCCACTACCGGACCTATTCTCCCTCCATCCCGACCAATACCTGCCGCTAACAGGGCGCCATCGTTCTCTCAAACGCCTGGCAGTCCTATGAGCGCACGATCAGGATCTCCCATGAGTTCTCGTGGACCTCCTATTCTACCTGTGGTTGTGAAGAAAACAAGAGCTCCGGCCAAAGCTCGAACTGATGCCTTAAAATCAGGTCCAGGTCGGCCCCGGAAGAAGTCTCCAGTGACTGATCTCCATAGTAAAACAAACAATGCTATTGGAGTCGCCTCGGCTGCGGAAGGTAATAGTCAGAGCTCTGAACTCGATAGTCTGACTTCTGGTATGAAGAAGATCAAGATCAGTCTTCTCACTAATGCCCAGAGAGAGGCAAAGGAACAAGAAAAGCTGAAGGCAAAAATTGAGCAAAGCCAAGTACATGATACAACGTCCACAACTATGATAAACGACAGAGTTTCTGAAAGCGCCAAGCCTGAGATGACCTTTGATCAATCCGAAACCTCTACACCAATAGAGGGCATCTCGCCAGACCCTTCAACCTCTCAATTATATCTTCCTCCACATGTTCCTTCTCATATTCAAGAAGCTGAACGAGTTCCTTTGCCAGCTAGTTCTCCTGTCGCTCCTCTGGTACAAAATGAGTCCGGTAACTTTTCAGACCATTCCTCGGAACACAGCGCGGACAAATTTGTCCCCTTCCAGTCTCAAGGCCCGCTTCCAAGCACAATGGCACAACAAGAACCACTTCGGTGGCTACCTCCGAATACTAACACACTAGCTGCAATGAAGAAACATGATCTTCCAGTCTTTACATCTACGTCCGCTATTCCTTTTGCTCCGAGTCCGAACGCTCTTGGCAACCAAAACGAACATTCAAACTTCAAACACGATTCACCTGCTTCCGAATCTACGCAGTTGGCTCCTTCAATCTGGGACATTCCAGTCACACCACGGAATCAATAGGACTGTTTCTAGGAATACCTCATCTGTATACATATCACATCTAGTCGGCATTGGTAAAGGAAAATTCATTTCCATGTTGGTTACACAAGCTTGCAGTTTTCTTTGTTTATGATACCCTTTAGAAGGAAATTTAAGGGGGATAGGTTAGGATTTTTGTATTAGTATAGACAGACACTTTCGGATAGAGAGTAAATTAATTATTATTATCAATAGATTATGGGTGTCAATTGTCAATGTCTATACCAGTAATTTACCCCAGCTCATCCAAAGAGCAGACGACTTGAGAAGTTGGTGAGAACTACCATTCAAGAAAACAACCCTCATGTATCAGTTCCTTCATAGTCGCAGGTCATGATTGAGAACCTCAAAGATCCAATTCGTTCTTCCCATCGATGATATGGAAGGGGGTCAGTCACGTGAATAGAAATAACGCTAGCGTACTAGCGAGAGATCCTAAAGTTTTCCCACACAAACTGATTTTGAAGATTTTACACCTCTCGTTCGACAACCGCAAAACTTTCGACAAACCACCACCAACAAATCCCCAATACCGTAATCATGGGTCGCGTTCGTACCAAGACCGTTAAGAAGTCCGCCAAGGTCATTATCGAGAGATATTACCCAAAGTTGACTCTCGATTTCGAGACCAACAAGAGAATCTGTGATGAGATCGCCATCATTGCTTCCAAGCGTCTCCGCAACAAGGTATTTAGACCTACAATTGGACGAATTTCAATTTCAACCAATATCTGACAATTGACGAATAGATTGCCGGTTACACCACCCATTTGATGAAGCGTATTCAACGTGGACCCGTCCGTGGTATCTCCTTCAAGCTCCAAGAAGAGGAGAGAGAACGTAAGGATCAATACGTTCCAGAGGTTTCTGCTCTCGATGTTTCCAGCACTGAGAGCGGACAACTCGAGGTTGATGTCGAGACAAAGGATCTCCTCAAGAGCCTTGGTGTATGTATTTTGCGCAATTCTGCTTCATCAATCTTCACATCTAACGTTTCAATCACAGTTCGATTCCATCCCATGCAACGTCACCGCAGTCACTCAAGCTCAAACCACCGAGCGTGGACCAAGACGATTCGGCGACAGACCTCCCCGCAGAGATTAAATTTATGGATTTACAAAAGGGGTGGGGATTTTTATTGGGAAACACATGGATCTGATGGCTACTGGAGTCAAAAGGACAGGAAGTTCAAACTAGATCAATGTGAGAGGAACTTTTCCCAAATCAGGTGTCGCTGATTCTTCCTCTGGGAGATGATGCTTGATTGCCATCCCGAAGGTTTCCCTTCGGGAAATTTCCCTTTCCTGTGAATGTGATATGATCTTCCTAACGATGGATGCTGTGAGCTTGATGCAAACGGCAAAACCTATGGACAAAGCGTTCTGCGTCTACCATATTCCGATTGTTCTTGTTCAGTGGTAAGTTGTATGTGGTTGATGCATTGGTGGTTTTCACACTCACTCGGGTCGATTTACGATTGGGATTCAAGCTTTACGGGTGATGATTTGATTGTTGGTTATTCCATACCATTGAATGTGACGAATGTGGGGGGTATCATAGTTTTACTCCTGCCTGCCATGAAAATGGACTCCATAACTCCACATAATACAATCATATTTTCCAATCTGTATCCATCTCGGTATCTTCATCGTCTTCTCCAAATAAATCTCCGCATTTGCTGCCATGATTAAATGTCGATGTATGACCCTCAAGATCCAAATGTAATGTATCCATCCTATCAGAAATATCATTAGAGTCGAACGTCGGTGGCTTGACATCACCCTGATTGACTTCCTTCTCAACTATAGAGAAATTCGTAACGCTCTTTGAGGACCCTTGGCCTGTGACTCCCCTCTCCAAAGCAAGATTTCCCGATTGCCTCTCCTTGTCTTGAGTATCCTGTTTGTTCAAGTCCAAATTTCCGATTCCATCCATAACCGAATCCTCCTCCGTCTTATGTTCATCCAGTAGATCAATTTTCATCGCCGAACTCCCGCCACTTCTCTCCCACGCCGGGCACTCACTCAACTGAACCCGAACATACAAAGCTTTCCGTGCACACGTATCCGAACACCACTTCTCGGCATCCTCCTTCTTGGTGATACGAAAATCCTTGGCCTTCCCCGACATGCCCAGTAATCTCCATTGTCCCCCGCGGCTATCGCGCGGTCGAGGATTGGCACATAACGTATATCCGCATCGCTGATCGAGGTTGCGTTCTAGGATTAAGGCATCGTAGTCGCTGGGTTGGAAGGGTCGAAGCGCGGCTTTGAAGGCGCTCACGTCGGCTGGTGAGGGGTGCGGGGTGCCCGAGAGTGGGTATTCTATTAGTGTTTCGGTGGAGTAGAGGATTTCGAGCTCGATTTCTTTGCGTTCTTGGATGAGGCGGGCGTGGTAGAGGGCTACTTCGAGGTCGCGTGTGGATTTGGTGGTGGGGTTGGAGTTGGAGTTGGGAGAGGTATTGGTAGTAATGGTGGTGGTGTTAGTGGTGGTGGGGTGTGAGGCCTTCTTTAAGATAGACTTGGGCTTTTGAGGGGTCGCCATGATTATCCTTGGTTTTTTGTGTCGGTAGTTTTGGTGGATGAATTGGGTTGGTTTATTTGATAAGAATGTTGGTTGGAGGAATCCGTAGATCTAATAAGTAATTGATTAGTTCGATAAATGTGTACCTAGGTATCTTTGTATGGCATTCTAGTCTTAAGTGAAGAAAAACGGTATTGTTGATTGGGAGAGAGATTAATAATGAATTGATTACTGTAAAACCCTTGTATTTTTCAGCCACTCTTGTTTTCACTCAAACTGTGCCTCAAAGTGTCAGCCACATCCATCGAAGAGCAAGCAATATTGAATTAATAACTTGGAAGGCTTTCCCTTTGCCCACCAGATCATGCAACAGATCTGATAGTAATACATGACCCAGGCAGCGTAAAGCAACTCGCACACGCCGCCTTGCAAACCTTCATAGGTACTCCATAAATTAATAGTTAATGATAACTGTTTGATTCCCAAAAAAACACATATTACAACTTGATCTTGAACTTTACTCAATGTTTAATACTCAATTTACTTACCAATGTATATTGACAACTTTCAAGATACATCCTGTCCTGACTTCGTTTCATTCATGCGCTGACGTACTCGTAGACTAACATAGTTTAGATACAAACACCCGCCCCGCCTCTTCAGATACCCGACAGCTTCCTCCTTCTTGCCCTATTCAATTCAGTAAATACTACAAAAGAAAAGTTGTGCAATTGTGTTCCACCTTCAAAGGTTCATACCCACGAATCCGTCGCTAGATTGTTACGAACATTATCCGTCACAAACCCGGACTTCGGTGGTTGGCAACTAGTTGGGACCGAGTTACAACATCAACAATAGTTTGAACTACAACCTTTATCTTCAACATGTCCCTTCCGCCATTCAAGGTGAAGGCTGTATTTGAGTATACTTCACCGCATGATGATGATCTTCACTTTCCAAATGGGCAAATTATCACGGTTACGGAGGAGGAAGATGCAGATTGGTATGCGGGAGAATATGTTGATGCTTCAGGAATCAAACAAGTAGGTATCTTTCCACGAAATTTTGTGGAAAAGTATGAGCCTACTGCTCCCCCAAGACCTACGCGTATCAATCGACCAAAGAAGGAGCCGGAACCAGCTTCTCCTGCTGTCGCTTTTGAGCCAGTGAGAGAACCAGAACATGAGCCTGAACACGAAACACAACCCGAAGAGCTCCCTGAAGCTCCTGCTGTACAAGAGCGAGAACCTCCTCCTCCTCCTCCTCCTCCTCAATCAGCTCCACAGGCTAAAGCTCCAAATCCTGCCCCCCCACCTTCAGCACCAGCTGCTTCAAAACCACCTCCAAGTCAAAAGCCAGTTTCTCCTCCTGTCACTGAAAAGCCAAGCGGTGGGTCGTTCCGGGATCGTATTGCAGCATTCAACAAAGCTGCACCTCCACCAGCTCCATTCAAGCCCGCAGGCTTCAGTTCTGGAGGTTCGAATAATTTTATCAAAAAGCCATTTGTTGCCCCACCTCCAAGAAAGGATGCCTATGTTCCCACACCTCGCGAGCCGCCGCCACAAAAGATATACAAACGTGAGGAGGATCCCGAGATTGCGGCAAAAGAAAATGAGAATCAAGAGCTAGCTGAACGAGCAGGATTGGCACACACTTTTCCAAGTAATAATAACGATGAAGAGGAACAACCCAAACCAACAAGTCTCAAGGAACGTATTGCTCTTTTGCAAAAACAACAAATGGAACAAGCTTCTAGACATGCGGATGCAGCACAGAAGAAAGAAAAACCTAAGCGCCCACCGAAGAAGAGATCAGAGTTTCATGAAGCTGCGGAAGAAGGTGATACTGCTAGCTTAGAACGGCCGGAAACTGGGGACAGGCCAGGAAAGGTCTCAATGGATTCTGTGAGGGAAGGAGAGGGTATATCACCACGAAGGACAAAATCTTCTCGTGGACCTATTCCTTCGATTGATGATGGTAATGAAGCGGATATGTCTGGAGCAGCTGAAACTACGGAAGAATTGGAGGATATTTCTACTGGAAAGGATGATAGCGATGACAGACTGAGGGTCAAACCTCCTCAACCTCTTGTCCGGGCCCCGACAGCTCCAGTTGTAGAGCCAGATGTTGGTGAGGAAGAAGGCGCCGTCGAAGAATCCTCACCCATAGAAGCAGGGGAGGAAGAGGAAGATGATATTGATCCTGAAGTAAGACGCAAAGAAGAGTTACGAGCGCGAATGGCAAAAATGAGTGGTGGTATGGGTATGTACGGCATGTTCGGTGGAATGCCAAAGGCAGCTCCCCCTCCACCAAAAAAGAAGCCATCATTGCCAATTCCCAAGCGTGGAAGTACGGCTGAATCGGAAACGATAGCTTCTCCCATAGCTAGCGCACCACCTGTACCGATGTTTCCTCTTCCTGGTCTGTCCAGAGTTCGAAGTCCGGATGAAATAGAGACACAAGCGGATGTTGAGGAAGAGAAGAGACCAGTCACATCCTCGCGTCCTGCTGATGTTGCGCCGGATGTTGAGGACGTCGTACCTGAAAAGGGAGAAGAATCGGTACCTCCACCAGGTATGTTCCATGATCTAGCACATTTATTTCAAAACTAATGTTATTGTAGTCCCGTCTCATGATGGAGGCGCACCACCCCCAATTCCAGGCGGACGACCAGCTCCTCCGCCTGTTCCAACCGATTGTACGTTTTATCTGTGATTCTAATAAATCCTCTTTACTTACTGTACTAGCTCGACCTATTCCTGCACCTTCTTCAGTCCTATTATCACCAGGTACCGGCTATGAATCTGATGATGAAATGCCCGAGCAAACAAGAAGAATGTCATTAGCAACTCCGAGTGTCGAACCACCTCAAGCTCCTCCCCGACCCGATGCCCCAATTTCCCCACGCTCGCCACCTAACAGGAGAGCTTCGTACTTTAGTCCTGATCAATCACCACAATTCCCAATCACGCCTGGTGGCAGACGTGCCAGTAGAGTCCCACCTATCCCAGCAGGTATTCCCCCTCCTTCATCTCAAGCTCGAGCCCCTCCACCACCTCCACCCGGGGCGGAATTGAGCAGATCTTCGACTGGTGATAAAGATGTACATCCTCACTTAAACCCACCACCTGCACCTGTGGATGATGGAAAGGAAGACGAATATGAGGGTGATTATGATACTGATATCGCTTCCGCTGTACCACATAAAGAAGCTTTGAAGCATAGTAGAGAAGCAAACGCTGATGATTCCCATCTTCGGTCTCCACTTGCTTCTCCAAGTTTCGCTCCTCCGCCCTTTCCTCCCACTACGGCTCTAAAATTCGCACCACCACAATTACCATCACAACCACCTCCTCGTCCATCAGCGGAGGTTTCTAGAGTTGCTCCACCCGCTCCACCACCGCCACCACCTGGTAGGGCCCCGGCTCCATGGGAACCCGAGAATGTTGAATATGATCCTTATAATTATTCGCCAGCGGCAAGCGCCCCAATTCATATTGCGCCAGCTACACCAAATATGGAGCCCGTCGAAGATGATTTATATTCAGCTTCTCCGCCAAGATCATTTGCCTCACCTAAACAAGTTCGAGCTCCACCTCCACCTCCTAACAAACCTTCGTTGAAACAATCCTTGGACCTAAATCGTGCGGCTGTCACCGGTGCGAAAAGATCCATGGACTTGAACAGAATGTCTATGGATTCGGGTTTTATGGCCAATGATGTTGATTTGGCAGTTAGTAGTCAATGGTGGACTGTTAAAAAAAGTCTTCCTCCTGTTTTCCAAACTCGAAAAGACATTTTGACCGACTCGGAAGATACATCATCAATTTCTGATACCAATCAACCTGTAGTCACAAGAGAACTCTTTGTCCTGTTCCATGATTACTCCCAAACTATTATCGCTGCTCAATACAATCCAAAGGATCCTTCTGATTGTCAACTTGAACAAAAACATGAAGGACCACCTGCTCGTTTACGTCAAGATCAATTGGAAGATGCTCATGAGCGTTTTGGTAAACGTGTCATTGAAGCAGTGAGTGTTAGACAAAACACTATTGTTGGTGATGGCACTCCTCAAGGATTAATCTTGGAATTATTAAAACCACTAGCTGGTGTTCTTATGCCAGTGGGAACTCGCGCATATGGAGCTCTCGTCTATAGTAATATGGCAAATGCATCCACTCAACAATTCGATGAAATTCGAGCAGGTGACATTGTTACGTTGCGAAATACCCGCTTTCAAGGAAAACATGGTTCCATGCATACGAAATATGCAGCAGAAGTTGGAAAACCGGATCATATGGGAGTAGTAGCTGAATGGGATGGCACAAAGAAGAAGTTGAGGGCTTGGGAACAAGGGAGAGAGAGTAAGAAGGTTAAGTTGGAGAGTTTCAAGTTAGATGATTTGAGGAGTGGTGAGGTGAAGATTTGGAGAGTGATGCCCAGAAGTTGGGTGGGTTGGGGTGAGGGGAATTGAGGTTTTTTTTACTCTTTCGGTCTGTGTTTAGATTGTGAGGGACGTCGTCATAAGAACAAGGGGGTGAGATTTGATATCAGGATGGGATGTTGGGATGATGAGGTTTTCTTTTTTTGGGCACTGTGATATGCCTGCGGGAATGGGACGGCTTGAGATGGCTGGCTTGAGATGAATTGATGATGAAAAGATGAAAAGATGAAAAGATACGTTGATGGTAGCGGGTGTTGTGTGTGTGTTGTGTGTGTGTGTGTAACTGTGTATACATCATTTTATTAGGCATAGCATGATTGATTGATCCATTGATCCATTGAAATTTGAATCTTACTTTCTCTCTCTCTCTCTTTCTCTCTTTCTCTCTTACTCTCTCTCTTACTCGAGTACTCGTATAATTTGGAAAGGATGTCTGTCTGCACGATTAGTTTCGCTCGTGGACAGGATAGATTTGTCTTGGTGTACTGTACTCGAGTATATATCTGTGGGATAATAACCCATCATGAAGTAGGGGTTCTAGGGGATAATGTCATGATGGCAAGGCATGATCCAGACATAAGTTTGCTGGGACGGTAATCTAAATCTAATAACGGAAGATTCATTTTGTTCATTGATTCGTATAGTTATATCTATGAGGAAAGGTATATATGTAGATGTAGATGTAATTATACTGAGTTATTATATCACAGTAACTATTAATTTGTGGAAAGTTTCTCTATCTATCTACTGAGTATAATCAATCTATGAGGATGCACATCTCCCCCTCTAAACAAACCAAAGCAAAGCAAAGCGAATGGATTCCCTTTCTAAGGAGTCAGGAACAAGGCCTCATCACACTCGAATTATTATAAATCATATGTCAATCAATCAACCAATCAATCAATCTTCAAATGAATGATCTTCATTCTTTTCCCTCATTCAATTAAAGTAAAGGTCTTTAGAACTGCTACTGTAGGGAACGCTGCTTATCCCTTTAAGTACTGCTGTAGATTACCTAGTAGTCTATATCAATGCTAATTAAACCTAAACAAAGCTGACTTCAGAATCCAGATGAAGGAATAGGGATTGATAGATGATAGATGATGCAATGATATAGGTATAATGATATAATGATAGAGATACAAATTCGATGAGTTGGAATATTTTATTATGTTTTATTGGGGGAAATGGTATGATGTTGAGATGGTATGATGTTGATGGAAAGTGCTTGGGCGTTTATAGGTAAGAAATGGCGGGTGGCGGTGAGGAAGTTGAGAGGTTAAGAGGTTAAGAGGTTAAGAAGGTGGGTGTTGGGATTGTTAGAAGATTGTTAGATTGTTGGAGAGGAGGGGGAAGGTTAGATGTTAGATGTTAGATGTTAAATATTGATAATGATAGTTTTTGGGTTGAATAACTTGGATCGGGATGATTGGGATGTTTAGGATGTTTACGTCAGAGATTGACTAGATGTATGGATGGATATTAGACTTTGAGGGATGGAATGTGATGTGTAATATGTAATACAAGCTGTTTGATAGATGATTTGAATATTGCAATATTGATGTTGGTGAAAACGAGGAGAGGTATGATAGCTCGTTTTCTTTTTCTGGGTAAAGGGTGACTTTGGGAGATGAATAGAATAGATGGACGTGGAGATGCTTAGTACTCTAGGGGTGCTTTTGATTCTTCGTCTGGAATTTCGCTTAATTTGATAACTTACCTTAATACTTACATTTTGTCTTCATTAATGAATGGGCCTATAGTTTCTTTTGTTGCATGTCTTAGAATATTATATTAATCTTCAGTTACTGTACTGATCAAGTCAACTTACTCCAAGTTGTTTATATATCTTTTTGTTGCATATCTTAAACTTTATACTAATCATAAGCTGTACAGGCTCAGGCTACAGTCTCCAAGTCATTATTTACTTTAAATCAGTTGTGAGATTACTTTATTTGGTTGCATATCTCAAAACTCTACACAAGTACTAATCGACATTGTCGATCCTGGCTTCACTGGCTTGATTGGATATACTAATTGAATCCTAGCACAGACCTACTACACTTTTGAGAAGATGGCAAGAGAAAGAGGCTATGACACGATGTGTCTAATTAGGGCTGCTGATTGAAAGGGACTGGATCTAGATATTTTTCTTTTAGTCTTTAGATGGAGAATAAGATAATATAGATAGATGAGCATGGCTTGTACATGAAGGGTAGAAATTAAGCGAAAGAAAGGAGAAGATGGAAAGGGCTTATAACCGCTATGTAGGGTTGTAGGTTTATAGTATGCGCAAGAGCTTTTGATCGGTGAGGTGAAGAAGTTGGGTGGAGATGAAGATGAAGACTGAACGATTGCGCGTTAGATGACTTTCGTAGAAAAGAAAACAGAGGACTTGCGTTAAGGAAGAGCAAATTAAGGCCAGCGAATTCAGGGAAAGGGTTAGGGAATGCAAAGAATCTAGGGAAAGAGGCTAGGTGATTAGCTTGGGTGGTAAAAGGAGAGTGTTTCTGGGGAATTTGAAAGTACGCTTGTAATTTAATGGAAGCAGATGGTCATGTGTGTTAATTACATGAGCACTGTATATTAAGAGGACCATCAGAGGGAATGTGAGGAGTCCTATGACATGTATCAAACAAACTGCGATATTTAGTCGTTTGATATGAATTCATGGGGGTATATAGCTTCCTACTATCCTCAGCACAAATCTTCTTCTCCAACAGACTCTGCAATCCAATTTCCCCAAGCCCTCCAGAATCCATCGCAAACCAAGAGAAAATCATCACCCAAAACCTCTCCTTTCCCAACAATGGAAACCAACTCAAACCCCGCACCCACCGCACAATCAAATACACCAAGCACCCCCATCTCAGATGACAAAAGAAGACGCAGGAACAAAGAAGCATGGCGGGTGATACAAGTGCAGCTTCAGACATTAGAGAGCGTTGATTGCTTTGCGATGCCATTACACAAAGCAATGCAAAGGTTGGTGATTCAGGAGATTAGAAAATTGTGTAGAGAGGTGTTGGTTGAGGCATTTTAGGGGGTGAAGAAGAAGAGTATGGTTTGGATTGAGCTTTGTGAGATTGTTTTGATTTAATGTGGTGGGTGGATGAGTGGGTTTTACTGGGTGATGTGATGTTATGAGGGGGAATGGGAAGAGGGTGGGAAGCAACGGGGAGTTTTCGAAGTTGTTTGACGCGGTGCTGTGTTGGGATAATTTTGGAAGCTGGGAGGTTTCACGTATTGTCTTCTAGGTGGAGGTGGAAGGCTCCTCGCATTCGGTTTCTACGTGGAATGCTCTTCACAGAGAAATATTATCTTAATGCTATCTTTAACCGTGAAAATTAATTTGAACATTCATAGATTAAGTTGCCGTTTCCATCTGATGTTGACTTCAATAAATTGGAACCCATAGTTTGGAGACAAACGAATATGCTTGCTTGAATTCTGTAACGAAAGGAAAGGTGTGATGCTCTCATGTCACATATTAATTTGAATTGATGCTTCTGGGTCCTTTAAGTTGAGATAGGAATCATAAGATGATATACTACCTGCTAATTTTAATGCCAGACAATTGACATTTAGATTTAAGGACTAGGCAATAGTGATGAGACGGAAGCTCTCATTGTCGCTTTTAGAGTTGGATAATTGTACTAGGTATCTTGCTTTGTCAACTTGAGTTGAGATGATTAGATGATTAGATGATTAGTTGCATTATCAATTTGAAGAACCTAGCAACCAATTATTGGGAAAATAGAAACAAGATATATTTTGGAGAAACACACGTCTTTATCCATTTGAGAAAGGAGCCAGATAGAAACTGAGGATTCAAATATACGGTGGTCACTAAACAATCACTAACAATATCATAACGCCTCAAGATGAGTTTTGATTGTCTCATAAAGGCTAAACAATCACTTGATTGTCAACTGTCCACCACCGTATTCCTAAAGTCTAAAGTAACCTCCACCCTCGTCTGAGCTGCATGATTTCATATCTTCATTATTCGTACATCCTATCATGAGAGCCTTTCCTCGACTCATCGTGATCTCAAGCGCTCCTTCATATCGTGACTCCTTGGCATCTTTGTTCATTGTGTCCTTCCTTCTCGTATTCCGAAACCTCATAGGTATGACCTAATATTAAGTAGCTCGAAGATAGTCTCTCCATAAGCGACGTACCTTCCCTCGGTTTCCAGAGTAGCACCCATTTCGAGGTCAGTGCATTCCGCCTGCATATTTACGCGATATTTTGGATCGTTCCAGCAGTCATATTTGGTGGCTCGATCGTAGGGGGAAGAGATCATACACATGCATTGAATTCTTTGAGATGTATGAAGAAAAGACCGGTGATTGAGGTGTGGAGGTTCTGGCGATAGTGATTTTGTTCCGTGGACGTGCTGCCATACGACTCTTTGTGTTTGGTGTGGCTGTGGAATCACGGCTCGTATTCGCTTTATATTCACATTCATTTTGATGACAATGGAGATTTATGTTATGATGGAAAGAAAGAGGTGAGGAAAGTTGAGAGAACATACTTTTGGACAAAGTTAGAATACTTCATTCAGAGCACGGCCGCTACTTCTATGTTCTGGAGATATTAGCATTGAGTGAAGGCTCATTGTTGGCTTCAAGTAAATAGAGAGATGCCTCTGCTCGTGAAGAGAAATTTTCATATTAATACCAACCTAGTCAATTTATTTAATTCACTCGATTTCAATATATTTTAAAGTGACATAGCGGGGTAACTGTCCCGGGTACAGCCTCAAGTTGCTTCCGATCTTTTAATCTTCTTGTCTACAAAACTATTCAACTTTAGAAAACCATCGCCAAACCGACAGTCGATCGACAAAATCATATATGACATATCGAAACGAAGGGAAAATGAGACCATGAGTCAGAATCACGGAAACGCATCAGGAAATCAAAATTTCGCCTTGGAAGATCCAGTAAACCAAGTTGTGCAATCATTGCTGGAAACTATGCAACGGAAGATTGAGCAGCAGCACCGGCAGTTGGAGCAGCAGGATCGGCGGATTAATCAACTCAACCAATACATTCAGAAACTAGAGAAGGAACATGCCCAGCACATTCAATCATGCCGGGTTCAGAATCAACAGTTCACTATGCACATTCAATCTCATCAACTTCGGATTCAACAGTTGTTTGCTTTGCAAGCAGGAGGACTTGGACATCATGAATATGGCCCACCGCCACTGCCCGACGTAGCTCGACACTGGGTACCACCACCACCGCCGCCTGATGTAGCTCAGCACTGGGTACCATCACCATCACCACCACCATCTGTTATGACTAGGTACCCCGGACAAGGAATTAGAAGAGAGAGAAGGCAGTCGAGTTATGAAAGAGATCGCAGTCGATCCCCGGACCGAGGCGATGGTAGATATCCAGACAGTCGTCGTGAGGGTAGATTTGATGGACCAAGAGGAGCAGACTCAGAATTAGGCTCATCTGCATTGTGCTCAATGCCCGGAGAGCTAGGAAGGAATGTCGGCGGCGCAACTTTTTCGACTTCTATACCACTAAGACCCAAGGTCAATTCTATGGTAGATAAAGGAGAATCTCAATCACAACTTAGGGATGAATCGGAAGGAGGCATTATAAAGAGAGAAATTGATGGATGAGAAGAGTGGCAGATGGTGGAGAACAAGGAAACGCAAATGGGGGTCATCGTACTTCACTTCACTTCACTTCACTTCAACACCTTCAACATTACTCACAAATGGTTTCAACCAATGCCTAAATAGGAATGAATAAACGATCAAGCTCATCAAAACTGATTCCCAAATTGGTGCCCTTGTTTTCTTTAGGTGCACAATATTATAATTTCGATCTGTGTCGTGTAAACTTTCAATTTCGAAAACCACTCATGATAGCCTATCTTACAAATAAATCTCGTATATTAATCGCGATGATGAGTTCTATCTATAATAAACAGGTTAGAATCTAAACTCTAGCTTACAAGCTATGAGAGATAGCGACATCAACCGCAGTGCTTTCTTTCAACTGACTTGTGAAACAGTACAATGTGACATTAAGTTATGCCTTCAAATATCACGGAATAGACGCTCTCGATGCTTGCGTATAGAGCCTGCTTTGAAGACGGCAGTCGTGTTCTATTATGATGCCAGCTCTATTGACTCGATGTCAGTTCTCTTCTCGTCTTGATACTGATATATAGTATTGCTTGTACTTGTCAACGTTAACAATCAGGGGCATTTGAAAAATAAGAATTGGCTAATTGATGGAGATCACAGTACCGGTATGTCAAATACTTTTTTGAGAAGAGAAGAGTATATCTTCGCTATATATTGTATGTATAATTTTTACATAGGTAGTCTTAACAAATACAGCTCATTACCTCCTTGAATGTGATCTGTTCATGCATGTGAAGTGAAGTGAAGATACTATGCCATATGGTGACCTACACATACCAAGCTCGCGATTTTACGTGTCTGGAACGATGGGTTCTGCCATGTTATGGTGGTGTGCGTGAATGCAACTACAAGGACTACAAACACTTGTCCCAAAAATCGATAATGCACAGCAGGTGAAAAAGAGAGAAGTTTACGCGCAACCGGGGAGTCACGCAGCCTGCACTACCTGATTGTGACTCAGAAGGATTGTGCAAGTAGAGAAGACAGCACAATTTCCCCAGATTACCCTTAAAGACCTACGAGCATACATAAACAATTGGAATCGATGGTTGCGGAAAGTAACGAATTTTATTTAGTCATCTCAGTGACTCAGTCCTATTGATAAATACCGTTTCGAAACGGGTTCGAAAAGCCATTCTCGGAAAACGATCCTCGTATTGCAAACGCAGGTTCTCTCTCGTTCAGGTATCATTGCGATGTGAAATCGTTCATACCTCGATGCGGCGAAGAAGAAGAGAAATTGGAAAATGAGTATCGTTGCGAAATTCTTTCATGTCTTAACATAGCGCAGCGCAGTACAGTGAAGAAGAATGAAAGTTGACATCTGTTCATGCATCGACGTGGTGAAGAAGAAGAAGACGGACTAATGATGCGTTAGGAAGGTAAGGCAAATACCAACTAAAAGAAATAATGCTGATATCTAGAAAAACTACAAAACATACCGAGAACAAATCAAGCCAGATTCTCTCAAGCAGCTTCCACTTATTCTTGCATCACGGTGTCCTCAGGTTGTATAGGTTGTACAGGTTGTATAGAGAGCGCCGCAAAAGCATTAACATTAGCCTGTTGCTCCATGAGTTCCGCCTTAGCAAGTTCTCTCTTGAATCTACGAAGGAGCTCGCGATGTGTCGAACGCAGCATATGCATTTGCGAATCCATCATCGAGCATTGTTCATTCGCATCATCCACTTGTTGCTCCAGCAACTGAACTTGTTGAATGCGCGGATTTTCGCCTTGCGGAATCTGATTCGCATCCATTTCCCGAACCATCTGCTGACGCTCATTCTGGTATTGTTGAGTGAGCAATTTGCGATTCTCGTCCATGGACTTGACTTGCTGTTCCAGTCTTTGAAAAGCTTCTGCTGCTTTCAGTTCGTAGGTCTCGCGCTCTTGCACGATTTGACTGCATGATTTGTTACGCATGTTGTGACGACTCATTTTGTGTGATGTTGGTTATTGGTGTTTTCTGGAGTTGTCTTGTTTTCAGGTTGGCAGAGTGACGTTGAAAAACTGAGGCTGATGATCTTGACAAACTGATTTTGACAAACTGATGTTGAGAAATTAGGTATTAACAAACTAGAGTTAACAAGTTCTGAAAATCTGCAGATCACCAAACGTTTAGATAATAATTTTCCCAGCAGCAAACAAGGTACAGTACAGCAAGACATTTGAGACCAATTCTCTACGGCACATATCAAGTGAATGTAGCGAACCAGCCGCTCCATTCAATATAGACTAGCGCATCGAACAACATATCGTTTCCGTTCTGCATCTCCTATTGGGCGTCTTTTCTAGACCAATCACAGAATTTAATGTCTGAGATTCATATTCATATCGCAACTCAGGTTACTTAATATACCTAGTTCAATATCCCAACCCAACCTGCAGAACAGAATAGTATCCGAATAAACTCGAAAAGAAAAATCTATTTCTTCTTTCCTCCCCCCTCGTTTCTAATCTGTCTGTATCTTCCCTACCTCAACTGTCTCCCTCCCTCCACGCCTCGCCGTTTTCTTTTTGACTGACTGTGCTATGTGCATCAGCAAGAGATCACTAGATCTACCACTGCATCTGTCATTATTCTTCCTAACGCTCGCTTCCTATGAAATAAAATCGATCAAAGATCAAAATAAACATCGACTCACTCACTCCCCATAGATACCAAGAGACCAAAACGAACAAAACACACAACCCAAAATCACATCATCTGTACTCATAGTAGTAGTAGTGACTGCTATAATATATATCTACCTATACACTAAGTATATACAAGCAAAAACCCTCAACATCAACGCCCCTTCCCAAATCCCAATACCGGGTCCGTAGACTCACCGGTCGCTATTGCGTTCCCGTACCCAATGCTTATGCTTATACCAATACCTATACCAATACCTATGTACATGCCTATGTATATGTATATGTATATGTAAACCCATAACTCCGTAAAAAATGCCCGATGCGGTTGTGTTGTAAACGCCGATGTGTATGCCGTCTCAGTAAGATTACCATGCCCATATGCTATGCTCGTATGTTCTGCCTGCCTATACCGATATATGTACCGTCGTCCTCTCGCCCTTTACACATCACTGCTTCCCCCTTTCTCATTAATTTCGGAGTGCCCAGCACTCGTGTCGGCCATACTATTCTCATGGTTCTCTTCCGGAACCACTGTCACATCCCCAGATTCCTCAGATTCCTCATCCGTCGAATGAGAAAATTCCTCCTGCACCGGTGTCATGGCCGCCACTCCGGCCCCAAACCCAATTGTCCCTAAATCATCTATGCCCGCCACATCCCACCAACTCCGATCACTTCTCCCTCTTTCTCCCACCAACCCTGTACATGCATGCGCCTCGAATCTCCTCTGCGCCAACTCCTCATCCCTCCTCTTATACGCCTGTCTGGCCTCCCTCGCCATTTCATTCCTCGTCTTCCCGGGACCGTACCCCTGTCTCTCCTTCCCCTTTCCCCAAAAGACACCCCAGAACTTTAGACTTCCGAAAAAACTCCCATCCGTTCCTGGTATATGTCTCCAAGGTTTTTCACGCGTGGAAAATAACCAGCAATCCACGGCTCCCTGTACACATACAAAAATGGTAGTCAGGGCATTAATTGCAAATGGTGGGTCTACTGCCAACTTGTCGTTGAATTGGAGGATGTGGGATATGAATGGTATCATCCACATTCCTAGATAGACTAATGGGTAGATGAAGAGAAAACGGAGTTGGCGACGGATTTTCTCTCGGGTGCGTATCATCTCTGATACGGCTGGATCTTGCCCACTGGAATTAATTAGATGCAAATCGTAAAGGCCGATTTCTGGTTCCTCCGGTCCATTCTGTTGTTGAACAGAGGTCATATTGGTAAATGTTGGTGGTGTATAAACGGAAGCATTCGAATCAAGAGATAAGCGTCGAGCGAAACTTTCCCGCCAAGAAGTATTCCGAAATTGAGGTGGAGACATTGGATTGAAAGCTTGTTGAGGTATCAAGAGAGCTGGAGATGTCATCTCTGATACAGGTTGTGGTGTTGAGGCTCCAGCATATGAGTCCGTAGAAATTTCCGAGGGAGGAGATACAGCAGTATGAGCTCGATTGCGTGAGTGGAATACTGAAGCCCACATGAATTGATGAGCGTGGTTCCTCATATTTACGAAGGAATTTAGAGTCGAAGCCGATGCTTTCCTTCTTTGACCAACATAAACAGCTAGTGGATGTCTTGGTTCAGTCACCAGCCCATTAATCGCAAGAGCTGGAGGAGGGGGTACGCTTCTTCGTATATGGCTTTGTCGAGTCCTTTCGGTTGAATCAAAACTATCTTGAGAATGACTATTCTCAAATCCACGGAACTTATATCGAACATAGAAATATATCGAAGCATAAACTGTGAGAATCGTAATGAAAATGATATATCGAGGAATCCAACTTAAAGCCAATCGATACCAAAATGGTCGTACTGGTAAATAGCAGTATGTTCCTTGAGCAACATAGGCTTCGTCATTACTAACAAAAGCCAAAGACGCCGCTAATATTGGAAATATTATCCAAATGGCGTAGGCGATCCTTCGATATGGATAAAGACCTCCTTCACCAGCCGAGGATTTAGGTTTGAAAATATATAATGCAGTGTGTACAGCAACCATAAGAACTGAAATATCTATACTCAAGTTAACACATGTTAATGACTTCATTCAACGGGATATCAAACCTGAAGCTTCAATTCCTAAAGATAGAAAAAATCCACTAATTTGACAAAATTTGGAATCATCTGCTATAGGACCATGTAAAAAGACCACGATTGGAAAAACCATAAACCATAAAGCTTTAAACATGTCACTTTGAATTAATATCATAATGAGGCTATTCGGTTATCAGTGCATGAACATCTCCAATGGAGGGGTAAATGGGGTATTCCTCACTCATGTCTAAATGAACGTCTCATTCTCATAAACCAATAAAAAGCTAGAATTGAAGAAGCAACACTAACAGATGCAAACGCCAATGCAAGTTTTTGTAAAATCAATCCATCCGAGCTCGATACATTTTGTCCTTCGTTGGTATTGTCTCCGATATCCCTCGTGGAATGTTGAAGCATGGTTCTTGCTAACAGTATTGGAGCCATATCAAATATGGCTTTTCGTCTTGGATTTTGAATCGAGGGGAAGGGGGAATTTTCGTATATTGTTTTATGGATCGGGCTTTTCCTTCCAACTTATAAATTCCTCCAACATGATCACCAAACGTTGCTCTACACCATTATCGTGATGATTTTGTATGCTTGCGAGGCTGTTCTGAATTGTATATATCGTACAGGTATAGGTTGCACAGGAACGTTGACGTCAAGAACTAATGGTAGTTCTTCGTAGGTTCTTTTTGTATTGTGCCGGTGGATTTGAGGTATAGATTCCGAGGTATTTGGATGTATTGTACAGTAATTATTTCTCTGAGTGATATATGTTTTAATCGTGAAAGTAAATCGGCGGTATGCGTAGTGGATATCTGAACTCCTTCTTCAAAGGCTGGTCGGAAAGGTGGGTGAAAGAAGCGGTAAAAGGTTCTATTGAGTTGGATTTGTGCGAATATTCCCCTATCATGAGCAAGTGTTTCGTATTTTTTAAAAAGCAAAGTGTAAAAGAAAGTAAGAGGATCAAACACGTCAAATTGTGAACTATGTATAGTGATTGCATGTACTCAAGTTGAATACCTGCAAAAATTGAGACTTTGTTCCATATTGAGCTGAGGAAATGTTGATTTTTTTCCCTTTTCTCATTTAGTTGACTCTGTCGATCATTCGAATCCAACACGAGAGCGACTGACGCCAACCTACCGGTTGAAGGAACACCTGATTACCTACTAACCTACAAACTAATAGCTGAACCAAGACCCTTTCTCAAGGCCAAAAAGGGTCATTGATATGGAGCGGGTATTGAAAAATTGGGAGCCATTCATTTGAGAAAATTTTAAGAAAATTGAATCTATGTAGATCGGTAATATCGGCAGTTAACCTAAAAGTAATCCGGGTCTTATTGAGGAGAGGAGAGCCAAGCCAGGTACTGAATACAAGGAAAGTAAGAAGTATATGATTCCGCAGTCCTATAAGTGATCAATATCATTGCTCCTTTTACTGCACTTTCTTATACTTGAGCACAGTACGGTGACAGTGCACACTCATATGAATGAACCTCCTGTCCCTATTTTTCTCATTTTCTTTCTCTTTCCCTTGTCTTAAGCCCTGCTGCGGCGCTGCCAATTGCCAATATGCATAAAATATTCACGATGACGACTTGACTAAGCATCGAGTTACAATCTTATTATTGCAAAACCCATAAAAAATCTCGTCTCCAAGTCGATGCTTCTTCTTCACAATGGATTTGTGAGGGTTGTATGGTTTCGCTAGCAAAAGTTCACAGCCACCAAATTTTACCGAATTCTTTGCTGGGCCTGCACGGCTCATGAAGGGGGTTCGAACCAGGATTAGAGGATTAGTGGGTGATCCCTTTATCGAAGCAGATAAGTTTTTTTTATCTCCGACTTGTTATAAAGGTCCACAAACACGAATCAAATCAAGAATAAGCTTCGATAGCCAAGTATGTAGGTATCTTATCGGCGAAATTTAAAAAAGGTACAGAAATAAACAACCGGATAGACAGATCCAGATCCAGATCATAAAAATCATAAATCGTAAAATCATCTGATATTCGTACAATGATATTACACCAACACAACCTTATCTTACATCCATCACGAGTGAAGATACAACATAAAACATGTTTCCCATAACATTCATCATTCATTCTCCAACTCGAACAGCTCGGTCAGCCGGTCGGGTACAGTAGGTACAGTAGGTACTAGGTGAATTCTTCATGCTCATGTGGTCATGACACTGGAGTGAAAATCCTGCAAACCTCTTCCTTTAATTGCGCCTTGCACCCGCAGTTCTCGTTCACCGACAAATGGCTCTCGACTCGAATCTTTTTCCCCGCCAGCCTAAAGTGGGCGGTTCCCACGAGGGAAAAAGAGTTTGTCGTGAAAAACAACGCAGCATCTGACCTTGACCGATTTTATGCAGTTCGAATGCCCGCATGAATCTCATACCCTTGAACGCCGAATGGAATTAAAAATTATATACTCGTCACGTGAGAGCGATATCTTTAGTCGGTTGTTGGAGAAAAGTATGCCGCGTTCAAATTTCTCATCTTGCATGTATCAAGACATCTTGACTCTCGGACGGGTGCAACTCTTGTCCTCCTCCATATTGATTAACACCAAATGGAACCTCTATTAAACTGCTAGCGAATCGTGATAAACGTGACGATCCAGGTTCTTCGGTGATGAAAGTGCTTAGACTTGCTCGGTCGGTTCGATGCGTTCTATCCGATTGTTGGGTTAGACGAGCTGAATCTCGTCCCAAGTATGATCCAATGCTCATCCTTGCTTCGTCGAATTCGATATCTCGAGTATCATAAGTATGATAAGATCGATGGTAATATGATGGTACATTGGATGATTGCCGATATGATGACCCTCGATGGGATGATGCTCGATTTGATGATTGAGAACTGAGATATGATAATGGAAGCATCTGTCGGGATTTTATCATTTCGTCGGATATTTCTATATCTGCGGCCATTGGATCTGGTATATCGCCGATGCAGAAAAACTGTTCGGGTTGTTTGAGGTCTACTTGAGATTGATTCATTTTGATGTGTTGACTTTCGTCCGAAGATCGAGTGCGATGTCCAAATAGAGTAGGGAGAAATGTAGAGAAGAATGGTTTCGTCGCCGGTAGTGCGGTGCATATCTAAGGTTGCCAGGGTTAATACTTCAGTCTCTTGAGTGTGGGACGATGACAAATATAGAGGGGCTCTTACTATCCCTATATATAGATTTAATACACTAGATATCCATAATGGATACGAGAACCAAGTCCTATCATAGGAAGAATATGTCGCGTGTATATAATATATTCTGACAACACCCGCAGCACAGACAACCAAACCAGCAGCGAAGAGAAGAAAGAGCATAAATTGTTGACGAAAGGGTATTGGAAGGCTAAACACTGTGGGTATCGGCAGAAAGAAAACAAAGAAATCAGAGCATGTATTAATAATTGCGCTCGTGAGTAGATGAGTTCGCTCGTTGATGCAGTTTTGCGGTGAGAAGGATATCTTCCAGTAGTCTGAAATAGGACTATTGCATAGAATTAGCAACTGTCTATACCCCTCAACTAACATGACCATACCTGCAGTTGTTGATGATAACCAAGTCAAAAGCGATGGCTTCACATGCCACTATTACAATCATTGCAATGGCTAAGTTTTTGAGAAGACCTGTTCCTCTGGACATGACCCGCATAACCAAGATGAGCAAAGAAATCTTTGTGAATCCAACAGCAAGTCCGAACAAACACTCCAGCAATATAGAGATCTTAAGTCCAAACTCAGCATAATCTGGTGTAACATCCCAAATATGACGGTTCCAACTCCAACGATCTTGGGCGAGAAGTGCAATAACAGCGCAGACGGTAGTCGGAACAAGGGCAATTAAAAGAAATACATCATCAACACCAAAATGTTTGGAAAGATAAAGCCGGGTGAAGGTTCGTAGACCAACCACAATGTACACAATCGGAAGGAAAACGACGGTGATTATGAGAAGTAAAGGTCCTCTCGTGACTGGGTCGATATAATTCGGTTGTGGGAAGGTAGACAAGATTTGAGGTGGAGGAAGTTGCATATTGACGAATCGCTGATTATTGAGCCAGTAATGAAGTGATTCTGATCCTGCCTACTATGTAAAAAAAGAGAAACGGCATTACCTTAATATCCTGTGCAGTCCACGGCATAGCTTGGACCCAGTCCCCATACTTGAGATTGAGTTGTATTTTAATGATGTCTGACTTTGCGTTCGAAGGTCGAGAGCCATATTTTATCGGATTGTTTGCTTGAAGATTGAAACTTTTACGATCAAATCGCACATAAATGTGTCTATCAATGGCGGGATGAACACTAGTGCATCTACTGGCACGGGTTGTATGAACGCTCAGATGTTATTCGGAAACTAAACCGTTCGGGAAATAGATTGCTTGTAAGTGTAAGTGCTCGGATAGTTAGAAGAGATCGTGATAGATTACCTTTGGAAAATGGATGAGTTTCATTAGGATAGACCATATAAACTAAACATGGTTGGATATATAGAAATTGATCAAAGCTGGTTCATCGGAAATGTTTTGACTTTCCTCGAGGAGAAGGGCGGCCAATCAACGGACTCCAGGTTGGCACTTTCCAACTTAAAATACTTGCAACGTGCAGGTAGGGACTACTTCCACCGTCACTACAAGCCCTATGGACAGACGACTTCGAGTTATATTTAAATCACAAAATTGAGGCAAAGGGGTAGAGAATAATAATGGTTCACTTTGAGATCTCAAACTGTCTGTGCATCTTTATGTAAGCCAAGCAAGCAAACTTATCTCGACCACCAGTTGTATCATCCCTCCCTCCATCTTCCATAATATCTTGGTCAAAACGGTCAAAGTATACCGGTATACAGTAGTATACTCACTGAAGCTTTACAGTTTCAGTTTCACAATCGAGGATCCACGACTCAACGTATAAGCATTTGCACAGCATATTCCGCATCAATGAGCGACTTCAACTTGGTCGCCACTGCGCTCCAACATGAGTAATAAGTTGCCACAGTCATCTATGACTTTTGAAGTATACGGAGTTCGACCCAAAGATGGTATCGTGTCTGCAAACGCAAAAACTGATTGTTGACTGACTGCAAAGCCATCCTCGTGAACTTCCGGACTTCGCCCGACCGTCACATGATTATTGCACGAACATCACTCGATGTTTTACTTTTATTGCTTTGCGGGAGAGCAGTTTTCTGACGTCAAATCATTTTGAGATGGCAAGTACGGGGGAGCTTCCTGGTATCTGGTTCAAGTCGAGCTGGGAGTGGAAGGTTCGCATCACATGACCGACACTCGACGTCAAGCCGTCGATGAAGGCAGAATGATAGGATGATGAGTCTCAACGTTCACTGGACGATTGATATGCATACCATTCCACATGTTCTTAGGAACTTTAAGGAGGAGAAATTGTGAAACGCACGCAGTAAAATTGGGTGGCAAGTGACTATTAAGCAGAGGGAGATAGTAAAATGAGTATTGATTGCTGAAATCTTGGGTTGCGTATCTTACATTGAAAAATAACAATGGAAGCTCCTGAATCTTCAAGATATGAGAATTTTATTTTAAACTCTAGGATCTCTTTGGAAAGGCAAAGTGTCAATATCGGGTAAAATTGCTGTCAGTACGCTAAAATCACTATCACTTCACCTTGACTTCACTTCACGTTCCAAAATTTCATTTCTAAATTATCAACAACCATCAGTGGATATTGATAACACAGAGATTATCGTCACCAAATAGAATTTCAACATGAATACGGAGACTACGTCAAACATTTCGCTACCCCCTAACTAAAAGAAAAGGACGTTGAACCATGACACACGCACACATAAGCACCAACCCAGTCATACCACCTCAGAAAACAAAAATATTCACATGGATATAAGCCACAAGAGGAGTACAGTATTACGCCGAAGAAAAAGAAGCTGGATGTTGACACACCGGCAGACCTAGGATATGTTCCCCATCAAAGTCACATACATATCATAGTCTTGAATCCGTCAGTTTCACTTGACACGAGTATCCAAGGGCATTAGTTAGACCCAAAGCATCCATCATAACAATATATACGAAAAAATCCTTTCAACTCATCTCACTGTGCCCAATAATCAATAATCTTATAACCATACATATCCTTACCCTAGCGAATCACCACCCACTTCTCCCCATCCCCACCCCCACCCCCACAACCCTAACCTCTACCCCAACATCTTTCCCAATCTTCTCAATCCCAGCCCTATCAACCACACCCCTCCCATCAAATATCCATCTCGGAGCATTCATCTCCTTGATAATTCTCTTCCATTCAATTTTTTCTTCCTGTCTTGTATTTGTCTTTCCTCTCTGCTCGCATTTCCTGCAATTTTCCTCACAGGATGGTTCGGGATAGAGTCTTCCTAGCGGATCGTCCCCACTTGAATATTCTGACTCTGACCATAGAAAATTTCGCAGATTTAATAAATCCATTTCCGATGGATTGTTCGAGAATGGCCGTGGATCCCCCACTGGTAAGCTCGTTTGTTTCGAAGGTGTCTCTAGCTCCCTACAGATAAGTATTGCATCTGCGCCTTCACACGCAGTATATAAGTTCTCTTCTACTCTTGCCTCATCGAATTTTTTTAATTCCTCTCTCAAAGCCCCAACCTCACACCCATCATCCCAAACCACAATTTCCCCGGGACGTTCCTCACCCAACATATCGACCACCTCCCTCGCCAAACTTTCCCTCACATCCCCCGTCCCCTTTTTAAACGCATAACCCACCACCACAATCTTTTTTCCCCTCAACCCACCCCCCATGCACCCCACCATCCTCTCCACCCACCTATTTATCTGCCACTCATTAATCCTCAAAACACTCTCCCAATATATTACCACCTCCTCCAACCCCAACCCCCCCGCTAAATACATCAAATTCCTAACATCCTTCCCAAAACAACTTCCCCCAAATCCAATCCCCGCTTTCAGATATCTTTCCCCAATCCTCCGATCCATACCCACCGCTTTGGAAACCTCACCAATATCCGCTCCGATACATTCGCATATCGCAGAGATGGAATTTATAGAACTGATTCGTTGGGCTAACATGGCATTTGAGACAAGTTTAGCTAATTCGGAAGATGAGGTGGCGGTATGTATTATTTTTGACAAAGGGACCCAGTGGTAAAGAGAAGCAAGAGACATGGCGGCGTCGTGGTTATCACGGGAGGTACCGATGAGAATGCGGTCTGGATAGAGAAGATCGGTTACTGCGGTGCCTGCGGAGAGGAATTCGGGATTGGAGATTATGGGGAATGTTTCGTGGGGGCGGTGGACTCTAAGCTATGGGGGATATTAGTTACTCTATTCGGTAGAGGGTGTGGTGGGAATGTTATACGGTGTCTGTGATAAAATCCCCGGTTCTACCAGGCACTGTGCTTTTCTCTACGATTATTGCACCAGCTTTTGCATATTTTCCGATATCGCGTACAACAGATTCAACAGCTGTCATATCTGTCGCTTTTCCTGCACCTATACCGTAAGTTTTTGTAGGGGTATTAACTGCGATCATGATCAAATCCGCTTCACCCAAACACATCTCGATATTATCGGAGAAGAACAAATTTGGTGACCGCGCAGGAATGTGTATATTATCATTGTGCTCGAGGAACCTCTCGAAAGAGGGATCGGCGTCTCCAATTAAAGGGCCATTGAAGAATGAGAAGTCTCTCGATCCATCACGACATATGCGAATAATTTCGGGTAATCCAGGCTCGTGAATAGGTAAGTGTCTTGAATTCCATTCTTTGACTCTTGAAGAATCCTTATCAACGACCGTAAAATTGATTGCTGGATTTTGAAGCGCAAGAATGGCTGCTGTTGGACCACCTAGTATCGAAGAGTCAATAAAACTCTTCGGTCGAGTCATGAAAATCTGATGTAGACAAAAAGTAAGAAACTGTACGTACCAACATATCCCGCACCTACGCAGCATACATTTTCTACAAGACGATGTACATATGTTTCACTCGAAATGGCACTGCCGAATGCAATCCCATCATCCAAACTCAAAGCTTGTAATATGGGACTGAAAGTAAGACTACCATCCGGTGTTGTGGGTGCTGTTGACATATTATGGTTAACATCGTCTATGTCGGGCGATGTGAGATGATTCGGTGACATGTTTGTAGATGACGCTTAAGAAGCACATATACCATTGAATAAACTGTGCGAGAAGATTGAAGATCAAAAACTAGGATTCTGAGTATTGAACGATGATGGTCAGAGGGTCAAGGTAGATATTGTTAGTTATCTCGGAAATATTTTCAATGATGAAGCGGTTCCCCGTAGAAGTGTATTGAGATATACAATGCAAAGGAGCGTAAAAGAAGTCCTAACATGAACCAAGAAAAGTGGGAAAAGATAGACAAGGAAGGAATAGATGACGAAAGCAGAAGGTACACCTCTTCAACTATCACGAGCCATCCTCTTCCATTTTATGGAAAGCGCAACTATCATCTTACCCATAAACTTTTATGGTATTCAAGTAACCAACCCATCGCAAGGATGAAATAGCTCTATATTCCGAAAACATTGGGCGAGACCAGAACCAACAAATTGACGCACGTTGATTCATGAGTCAGATTGAATAGACAAAAAGGTTTCGTAGCGCTAGCTATTGCTATCTTCACAGCCGATCGTCTTCATACAAAGTATACGTGCTATCTGTGTTCTCTTCGGAAGAAGTACTAGAAATAAAACTCTCAACTTTAATCAGGGCCAGGAAGTCCTCCACGTGGAGTAATAATCTCGATTCTGATTCGCTAAGCGGAGTTACATGAACAAACAACCAATAAAAATGCACATCATACAACACGCCGGAATCAACATCTTTGAGGTGTAAGATAAGAACATTATTAAAGTAGACCTCATACCTGATGACTGGGGCAAATGACAAAAAGGGTGACATGATAACTAGCCGCGTGTGTGGATAGTTGAACCTCGTGTGAGACCTGACGAAGATATTGGTTGGCCGCCAATTAATATGAGCCTTTCATGAAAGATATAACTACAGTAGAAAGGTACAATGCCACTGCTAATAGAAACATCCCGAAGAGCTCAACCACTCGTACACTTATAAATTGAGCTTCGAAATGAACTCATCCAACGATCATCCAAAAAAAGATGAGCCATTAGAGTTTCCAGAAGCCCTGAAGGGGAAACGTATCCTTCTTGCTACAGAATCATTCGGACCCGTGAATGGTGTAAGTCGGACGACGTTAAATCTTGTCGAATACCTGCGTGGAAATGGCGTTTTTGTTGCAGTCGTCGCACCTCATTATTCGACCGGAGCTGCACCCATTGCTTCCACGACGAATAGTAACAACCAGATCGAGTTGAGGTTGAAAGGATATCCATTACCTTATAACCCAGAACTTTCAATAGTTTATCCTGTGCGCCTATCGCAATTATATGCTAGAACCTTTGGATCAAAGCCAGATCTAATATACCTTGCGAGTCCTGCGTCTCTAGGCTTTCAGATATTACTACAATTAAGACAACAACAGAGAACTTCTCAAGTTCCTGTAATGCTGAATTTTCAGACGGATTTATCGGGCTATTGCGAAATATTATTCCCGGCACCGTTGGATAGATGGGCAGTATGGGTTTTTGGAAGTGTACAAGGTTATCTCTTTCGATGGGAAGGAGTCAAGACAATCTTTTATCCAAGTAGATTTGTGAAAAGATATTTGGCGAAAACGGGGATTCAGGAGGAGAAGATGGAAAATTTGAGAAGAGAAGTTGATGGCTCCATGTTTCATCCGTCAAAACGATTGGAAAAGCTTCGAAAAGACTGGGCTCCGAATGGAGAACTGATCATGATTTGTGTAGCTAGACTTGCACCTGAGAAGGGGTTTGGATTTTTGAGTGAGGTTGTGAAAGAACTGGACGGAAGAGATTTCCATTTTAAGCTTATAATCGTAGGAGGCAATCAAAGTCAAAAGGTCGAACAGGAAATCAGAGGTTTATTTGAAGCCCTAGTGGCGGAGGGAAAAGTTGTTTTCACTGGAACGCTCAGAGGCGAGGCACTAGCCGCAGCTTATGCTTCTGCTGATATATTTCTACACTGTTCAATTACTGAGACTTTTGGCTTAGTGGTCTTGGAATCGATGGCAAGTGGCGTACCGGTTATTGCTAGAAACGAAGGAGGGTAAATTAGACCTTTTCAATGACATAGGACAAGCTGACAATCATCAGCCCATCGGAAATGTTGCAGATAATAAATTTGGATACTTGGTTGCCCCATCGAACCTCACGGGGTTTGTTGAGAAAGTCCTGCTACTCAGCAACCGGTCCCAACTGAGATCAGCTATGAGCATCGAGTGTCGAAGGATGGCGGAGGAGGCAACATGGGATAGTATCGGTAATCGCGTGGCATGGAAAATGGCCGAGGCATTGAAGTCCCCCAAGTCGATCACAAACGCACCGCCAGACACCAAGATACCTTTGTATAGTTGGTTGTTGATGACTGAAGGATTGAGAAACCTCCTGGTATCATTCATTGTGGATGCCAAACTTTTTGCGGGACTTGGGATAATCTTTGGAATTTGGTTCGGGTTGATTGTAACATGGATTTTGGTTCGAATTTCAATTCGTTTGAGGATGTAATAATCTTAGATCCGAGACCTGAAGTGTAATGAATTTGTATCAATGCAAAGACCGCGTATTAATGAGGAAGACTATGTATAACCAGGGGCCAAATATTTGCAGGTTCATGCCAAAAACTCTTGTCTTGGTGCTTAAAATAGGTCAATGTCCGTGTCTCTAAATATTTATGGATGGCAGTAGAATATTGATGTGCACAAAGAGTGTGATCACCGCAGGCTGAAGAAATATTTAAAGATCAATAGTCACAAAACATTCTAGATTACTCTTCTAGTAAGATCACAACTAGTAAGTATTGAGTTACCCGCTTCAAGGGAGGGTGATGCTAGCCAGAGAACAATGCAAGATTTCTAGACGAATGCTGCCTTCGAGACCGGCCTCGGAGGTGCTTCTGCCATAGACCAGCAGAAATTATTTCTGTGATGAAGATAAATTCCACTTTTGATGTGCACGATGACAGCAATAAGGAGAATCTGCGAGATCCTTGCTATTATTTTCCATCAAGCGAATGAGATGAACAACAGTTCTGTTCTCCAATCGAGATAATGTGAAGAATCATGGGAAGGATTCGCCAGACAAGAATATCGTTTATATCGCGGCAGTTCAAGGCGTAATTGATGTGCAGAGGAGCACACGGATGTCGACAAAAAGCTTTTCGAATTAATTAGAGGTAGTGGAAAGGTAGGATTATAATAAGAAAAACCATGATTAAGACCCGTATTGATGCACCACGAAGGGACTGCGTCCCTTTTTTCGTTGGCGTTCGCATGGTTGTGTAAACTTAGTCTTGTAGGACAGATACCGCGGTGGCCAAGTTTCCGACCTCATTGCAGAGGCTGAGTATAGGACCCGTAGGGAATGGTATGTTGCGGCAAACGAGCTGACTTGCATCGTAACAAACCGAACGACGAATAACGTTTCAAATTGGAACAGTAAAAAGCGACATTAGTTGAAGGTCTGACAACATTTCTAGGATGGCTTCAAATAGTGTTGTCGACACTGTAAGAGTGATATGAGGATCACAGGAACTGAATATTCTCTGAAATCAATCTTTGCAGATTATTATCTGGGGAATTAAACGGGACATCTGCCGTGACTCCTTGAGCCTTGACTGACAGCAATTGGCATATAAATCGATATCGGATGGTGGCACCAGCATATCCTAAAATAATAACAGAAAATTATAATGCTTAACTCAGGCTAGAATGGAGAAAAGGCCGTATTGTCTCGCACTATTATTGATTTAGAAGCGAGTCTTGTTGGTGATAGATGAGAAACACACTGATTCAGAACGATTGGCGCCGATGGCAGATCTAAATCGAATCTAGCCAACAGTAAGGTTATGGGTGGGCGCTTAAAGGGCAACTGATGACCTCTCATTTGTTTGCTGCGTGAAAATAAAATCTTTAACAAATTTCTCGCAGGGATAATCCTAAGCCAGTCCCTGCGAAATGGCAAGTACATGCAAGGCGGGAAGACTCAGTATCCATTGAATCATGTTGAAGAATAATTGTGTCGTATCCTGCCGCCGTATGGCTCTAAAATAAAATTGCGTGAACATCAATCACATGGTAGTTGAATCCTACAATTCCACTGGCGGTAAGTATCGAGGTCTCTATGAGACAGTAGAAATTGAAAACGAGGTTATTCAGGTTTCGTTGCTTCGTTGGTTGACAATGAATATGGGTACAGCAATTACGAATTGGGCTAGGAAATTATTTATTACCCGATATAGTTGGTCTCAAAATACACTTGGCTCTTAACCGATCGAGTTAGTATCAATTCGGCTAAGCATGACAAGGTTATAGATTAATGATGAGACTCGGAAAGCTTCAGACCTCATTTTCCAAGACGACATTGATGTCTCGAATATTCAATAACGCCCATTCTGAAAACGCTGGTGCCTCCTTTCCTCGATCTGAAGGATACAGAATAGATTTCATTCATTGAAACTCTTACCTACAATGGTATTGCGCTGCCGAATCTCACTCAGATAGAACATTCTTTTTTAATTTAACGACTAAATTGCCTGCCCGGCTAGATTGCTAAAAGTACTCTAGGCGCGCTGTCATGCGACTCTTACTAAAGTCTCAAGTCCCGGCTGGCAAGCGTCATCCGTGGCTGCCACTCATCTGACAGGCTGTGACCTCCTTGTGTCGATCTCATCCATTGATCAAGAATCTTTCTAAAAGTGGCATTCATCATGCGCTTGACCATCAACCCTGACTGCATCATACGATGGGTCTAGTTGTATCAAGAGCGCCACAGACTGACCCTCAGACGTCTCGCATATGCCAAAAAGCGTCAAGTCCGACAAAATCTGTCTGGAATTTTTGGATTAAGATCACCCCATAGTGTGAGCTTCATATCGTCGTTTTTGCTTCCTAATGTCTATGACATACTGTTACGGGATTCGTGTTTTTCCTTGCTAGCCCTACCCAGCATCACCCCCGGGCATGGCACATTTATTCTATTCCTATTCTCCTTCCTAACCATATTTTCTATCTTTCATCAATAACATTTTTCTCGGACTGGCAAACCAAACAACATCATCGCCTCTTCTCTCACTTCACTTCTCGGGCAGGCCCATTCCCTCTTTATACCCCATTTCTTTGAAAGTTGTTTCTACCTCAAGGCAAGGAATAGTTTTACATTTTTTCTCACCGCCGGTCGGGTTTTTCAGATTACATTCTATTAATTTTCAACCATCTTGGTTCATTCTAACTCACCGTTCCTACTTTTCTATCGTCACTACTCATTATGTTTTGGTACGTAACCGCAACACTATCGCTTCTCCTCGCCGGTCATGTTAGCGCAGGTGGAGTCATGGATATGACGCCAGTGGCTCGTCGAGATAATAAGGAGGAGATGTTGCGAAGATATATGGATAACATTATCGAGGACCGTCGAAGATCTATCACCGATGCACCGGTAACCACAGCAGCTACGAATATTTCAGCTGCGAATATTTCGGATTGGAATACTCAAACTGAGGCAGCTTGCACCCAGGCATTGGATTTATTAAATGGTCAAGCTACCAACCCATCTGGTCTAGCAGTCTGTTATAATTTGCCATATGCCGACAACAGTACTGGTGTCTTCAAGGCTGACCTTCGATTGTATAATGTCTCTGCTCCTACAGGAACATTTGCCAACATTCCAAGCCAGGATGTTCAGGTTGGGTTGAACTACGAAGGGGCTACAGTATCGGCTGTTGATATGTCGACGTTGATGGCACGAAGTGAAGAGACCTCTTTGATTTCGTGGCCACGAGCGATTCAAAAGCGACAATCAACAGATACCACCACAGGAAGGACTTTGACTTTAGTTCAATCATATGCCTTTGTTGGTCAGATGAATAAGGAATACATAGGCATGGCAATGGACAGGTATGTTTACTTCACAAAAGCTATAAGGCTTCCAAACTGACATGTATTAGCTCAACTTTAGAAGCACTCTTGACTCCCACTGTGACTTTGACCGGCAAGAATGTTTCCGGTGGAACCGTGAGTACAGTCCTGAACAGCAACCAAGCATCTTTTGTCAATGGTGTATTCTCTACACAAACTGCTGGAGTCACTAAGACTGTCGTCCAACCTCCTATCCAGACTCTTGTCGTCGCATCTGAGTCTCCTTTCGTACTTCCTGGTCTCAACATCCTTATCTTTCCAATTGGTGGCATCATTACAGGTGTATGGGCAATCTTATTCATAGCCACCCTTTCTTGGGGTACCATCGGTAGAATTCAATTCAGAGACCAATTCAGATCAAGGACTGCTAGAGCCACGAAAGGAAATATGTCACGGATCTAGTCGACTTCAGGAACACAGGGTTAGCAAGGAAGTGTACAAAATTCATTTCTAAAAAGAGGGAGTTCTACTGTGTTTATAGAATTTTTGCACAAGTAATCGAGAATGGTGGTACGATGTCATGCTCAGGATAGTCGGTCCTTAGCTTGATTGATCCAGCAAAGACTGTTTCCTGAAGTCTGGATATCGAGAAGTCCTGAGAAGGTACAAAACAAAAGACCAGAGCATCTTAGCATATCCTTTAGATTTTTTGTATTTGTGCTTGGTAGTGGAGATTTTTGGCATTGCAATCACGAGACACGATCATTACCTCAATTTAGAATGTATAATACGAATCAAAAATAATTCAAATCTGATTTAAGCTTAATGTTCTTTGACAATATAATCCAATATATGATATTCGGATATCAACAATTGATCTGCAACATTGGGGGGAGAGGAGGGGGATATGTATGGCTAAATTCCATCATCTAGATCTTGTCCACCAAAGGTTTACAAATAATTTTCAATATCAAAGATGTCGTGAAAACAACCTCAACAGACCATCACCTTGGCATATAACCTTATGATTTACTTCCTACTCGAACCCATAAATCCTCTTGAACTATGATCCTCCCACTGAAAATCTACGCGAGGTAAGATGAGCCTAAGGGTTCGTACCAAATTATCTCCTAAACCTTCCTTCCTTCGGAGCTTGGTCTGAAGTTTGAGTTACCGAGATGATAGGGTTACATGTAGAATTTTGAAAGGGTAGGATTGGTTGCTACCACTTTTTGGGAAAGAGTTTTGAGTGAGCCAATTTCTTCTGAGCTGCAAAATGGGGGTTCTGTTTCATAAGTGCGACGTTATCGGAGAAATTTGCGAGGGTTGGAACTTGGCAGGGATTAGGATTACCCCTGAGTTTGAAGTTGGGTTTGTTTTGAGGGGGCCGAGACCGAGTCGCGTTGGAGAGGGTGTTGTTGTTGGTGGAGGGGTAGGAAGAATTAGACACAGTCACACAAGCAATAAATCCAGTACGAAAAAGGGATGTGAAGCAAGAGGAGATATCCCAGACGATGGGTAGGCGCGACCAAAAAAAAAACGAGGGATTGAACACGTGCGATATCTCGAAGATCAGGTGATCGTGACGCTCGGATGTCTTGATTTTGGCCCTCGGCCCTCGAGACTTCTGGAAGGATACCAAAAGAACAACATATCCACGGCTTCTTCATCAATAACATACTTCATCCTGCTAAATACCGTTCGATGATTGGGGAGCCTACAAGTTAGATGTTGGATATATCGAAAGAGTGGTAACACGCTTACGCAAAAGACCCATCACAATGCTGAGTCTCAATCGACATTTTCGATGCTCGAGGGTTCCTCGAGCATCCGGGATTACCTGAGCGATCATGAGCGATCAAAGCATGGTGTATGAAACGATGTATCTGATGCGTTTGTTTCTGCTCCTCGAAGCCTCATTAGATGAAGACAAGTGTCCATTGTCATGGTTTGTAGAGAAACCGGCATAATCCTTTCAATCTTTTGCTCTATTAAACTTTGGGTCAGAGACGACGAGCGTCATTGTTGAGTTGTCATTTCCCCCAAAAGATTGTTTCCTGTTTCTATTCTTACAACTGCTACAGCGACTGGATCGCATTGAATGACCGGAATCGTTGTTTTGTGATTGGATTACTGCTGTGGTGTCCTACATTCGTTTTCATATCCATACATTTCGTCTGAAGTTTTTAAGTTTATCATCCTTTTCCATTTTCAGACTATCTTAATTGGCAGGTTCATCTTGAAATACTTCTACAACACTGAAGCTTGAGACTGAGCTCTCAAATAGAAGAAACATGGTTTCGGTGGCAGATTTAGTTACAAATCTACATTCAAATATTGATGAAATTCATAAGACTATCGCTTTAATAAGCGATACCTCAGACCATGATGCGGAAATCACACGACTCGAAAAGGAACGCGATGAACAGCTTCAACAATTAAAGATGGCTCATGAAATTGCAACAAAAGAGGACCAGGACGCACGAGTAAAACAGGAACAAAAGATCGAGGAAGAAATCAAGAGAGAGGAAGCGGAAATAACTGCGAGAAGGAGGCGTGAAGACGAGGAGAGAAATTTGACAATAGAGAACGCAGTGAATGGGAGAGAAAAGGCAAGGCAGGAGGAGGAGGAGAAGAGGAAGGCCGAATTCGAAAGTAAACATAAGGGATTGGAAGATGGAGTCGACGAAGAGATGGAAAAATTGGAGGATGAATTGGAGAAGCGAATGTCGCATGGGCAGAAAGCTTTAGAGAGTTTAGATGCTGCGAGGAGGGTGAGTTTATACTCTTGTTATTTTCCCTGGGTATCGTTCGCTTTATACTAAGAATTCATGAATCAGGAAATCAACAAACAAATCGACGAACATCTCAATATTCCGACTGTACTACCTAAAATTCAATACAAGAGTCGGAGGAAGGCTTTATTGAATAAGCACCGACCGGACCGTTCATCTGAGAATCCGGACATCAAGGAAGTTGGGGAGAATAGCCAAAATAATCTGGACACAAATGAAGACCCAAGTCCTAATGTGAACGAGCACAAAAATGAAGGCCCTCGGGACGACGAGACTAATGTTGCTAATAGTACAGAAGACCCTAATTTAGAGCACGCCAAGGGACTGGTAATGCAGCCAGCTTCGCCAATGGCAGAGGAAGTAATCCATCAAGAACAAGAGACGCAATACCCAGGAACGGAACAAATTGAGGAAGTGTCACGGCTGATCGAAAAAATCTCTGTCTCAATGCCTGAGGAACAACACCTTGAGCCTGAAGAACCACAGCACCCTGAGCAGCAACATCAGCTGGAGAATACTGCACAAGAACATCCAGATCTACCCAAACAAGACACTGTACAGCCTATAGAAGATGTATCAAATGAGACATATAACGCGACTGAGGTTTCACTAGCAGATACACTGATGGAGACCAATGGTATTCCAATGGATCAAATCGTGGAGCATCAGACAAATGATGCCGAACAACATGAAATCAGTGATACTTCAAAGCAAAACAACCCATTAGATGCATCAGAGAACGCCGAGGACCACGTCAAAGAGAGCCAATCTGCTGAATTTCCTTCCGAGAATGTCACGGATGGGTTAAAGCAAGATAAGACCCCGATAGTCGTACCTAAAGAAGCCGAGTCTTCCTCTGCTCATGCTACAAGGGAATCACCCGAAGATAGAGCAGCCAGGGAGGAAATAGATCAATTGAACGAGGAGATCAGACAAGCTATGGAGGAAGAAGCTAGGGGGGCAATGATGCCTCACGACGAAGCCAAGGATCTTCCTCTAGATGCACAAGAGGAAGAATTAATCAAATCAGAAGAGTCTAAATCAGAAGAGTCACACGTTTTTGAAGTTATTACGACTCCAGATTTTGCCAACGAAGCTTCAGAGAACAAAGCCCTTGCGAAAGAGGACACATTACCTAAGATGGAGGGCACACCAATCGCACAGATCTCTGAATTTCAGATTGTAAGTAATGACTTTGAGTCAAGGACGATACCCGAGACAATTGAGGCTGAAAATGCTTCTAAACACCAAGTTGTCTCAGAAAGCATTGAAACTGAAAACAAAGGAATCCTTGAACCAGAAGAGCAAGCGAACGGCACAACACAAGAACCTATTGAAACTCCAACTGAAGTGACACTTCTAGCTAGAGAGTTGTCATTAGAGCAGACGCTAAACATTGATCTTACCCCCGAGAATCATGGACTGCTTGAGACATTGACTGTTCATGTGTCTCCAGATCAAACAGTGAACGAGAAAATCGAAGAGATGCCCGTGACTTTGAGAGAAAAGGCAATCTTGCCTCCAATGTCAGTTGAAGAGCTCACCTCCGGCAACGTTGGTGACGGGAATGCAGAGATGGAGGACGACAGCCTACCCAACGAGTCATTAATTTCAAGCAAATCAGAGGACACAAATCAGATATCCACGGAAGCAGAGACAGTTCATAACGGCTTGGAATCTGCTCATCACGATGAGCCCATACCTGTCGAGGAATTTGAAGTAGAGGCAATCCAAACACCACTTCCAGAACCAGCAGAAGATGAATCCGTTTTGCTCAATGAGGAACCAGCACTACAATCTGATACCCTGTCAAACGAACCGGTGATCGACCAAAGCCAACAGGCAACAACTGAGCCAGTTAGCACTGAAGATATCAATAACGAAAATGCACAGACTTCGAATGAGAACATCGAGTCTGTAAATGAAGCTACGCCAATTATGAAGGGGAAAAATCGTACCGGCGAGGAGCCCTCAAACCTCAACATATCAGACGAGAAAAGCGAGGAAGTAGTTCCAGACCAAAATCCCGCCGAGCAGAATGAATACGCTGAGAAAGACGGTGGAGATGCTGCAAGCAGTGAGGTGGAGGCTGAAGACAATGAAAATCCAGAAAGCAACAACCTGGGTGAATCACCGAAGACCCCTCAAGCCATTCTACCTGGAGTAGAAGAGATGAAAAGTACTTCAGATGAACCCTTTCTACCTTCAAAGTCAACTCCAGAGGTGGTACAGCCAGACGTCGACAGCCATGAGAATTCTGAAGGTGATATATTATCTTCCCATTCTCAAAATACTTCCGAGAATAATAATCTTATCAACGAGATTGTTGTTCCGATACAAGAAGAGCTTCATTTCAAAGATACTGATATTGATCATATTACAAAAGTTACAGTCGACAGCAAGGTCATTCACCAATCAGAACCTCGTAATATCAATTTGGATGATACCCCCCAAAAGGCCGAGGTAGCTGTTGAGCCGATTATTTCTGGCCCCGAACAAATACACGATGCAGAAGAAGACATTCCAGTGACAGCTGAGAGTGGCACTAGCGATATACGTGAGCTGGAAGTCGCAATCGATGGAAATGTAAATGTGGCGAAGGATGAAAGGTCTAGCGACAAAGAAGCTCTCGATAGTCCACCAGAATATCTTTCGCAAACTATCTATGAACCCGTTCAGTTACCGGGCCATATCAAGTACCGAATTGATGAGCCAGCGGCTGCGATCCGGCAAGAGAATGATGCTTTACCACAGACCATCGCTAAAGAGGAGATAATTATCTCTGAGACCTCCATTATTGACCCCGAGGATATAGCTCTAAAACTCACCGATGAGAAGATAGAGTCATCGTCCGACATCAATTCTAAAGAACATTTTCAGAATGTGGAAGAAGTAAAGACACCTGGCCACCAAGATCTTGAGGGCACTGGGGGTGCAATCTTGACTTTGAACATTGGTTCTCCACTCCCGTCCCCTATCCTTCACATCACTGGTGGCAATGAAGGAGGAGATGCTAAATTAGAGCATAATGTCATTGAAAATCCTGTGGGCTTGGAAGAGATGAGCCACAAAGAAGAACAGTTCGAAGTTAACGACTCAGCCCGCCCTCAAGAACTCAAGGACATAGAGCCAGTGAAATCGAGTGAAATGCCATTTGGAGATCATGCACTTGCGGAAGCGGTCAAATCTGAGCAATTGACTCCGGATTATGACGAATCAAAACATCAAGAAGCTGAAGAAACCCACAAACAAGCAAATGATGGCGCTTCACTCGAGAACCAAGAGGATCAAGAAAACAGAGATCTCCCTTCTACTTCTATTGGAGAGATTGACCAAGATGCCAATAGCCTCAATGATGTAAAACACAAGGAAAACGACATACAACTTGAAAGCCAAAATGATGGAAATCCTGAGATTGAGGTCGAGACGTCTGCGTTAGAAAAACCGATTATCGATGCCTTCCAAGTGCCATTTGCTATGGAACACGCACTCCCAGAGATCCATGATGAGCCCAGAAGTGGGCAAGATGACCGGGGTGGTGAGAAGGTCAATGATGCGCCGCCGAATATTCTTACTCACGAACAAGGAAAGGGCGAGCTTCGTGCAATGCAAGACGCTCATACTGAAAAGCCCACCAAAACCAACCATTCACAGGGATCTGAGACAACAGATATACCACACTCGGTTCCAAGTATTGTAACTAGTCCTGAAGCCATCCACGAGGAATTGTCCACCCAGGAGAAAGAAAAGTCCTCCGGCATTGAAGAGGAACATATCAACACAGTACCTGAATCGGACACAATCAGGCAAGATACTACATCTCAAACTCCCCAGGTATTACAAGAAGACCCCGAGGATGTTCGTGCCAGAGAAGAGGTTGCTCGTTTGAATGCCGAGTTTATGAAGGCCATTGAAGAAGAGCAAGCTGGTGAAGAATTAAATGAGCCGGTCGACGTCAGCAAAGACAAGAATAATGTTGATGTGATTGAAAGCAATCCTGTTAAAGAGGAGCAAGAGAGACCAAGTTCTCGAGAAAGTGCCGAAGATACCACAGCGAGGGAAGAAATCGCTTTGCTGAATGAGCAATTGAAATTGCTCGGTCAACAACACGATGACGGAAATCAATTTGTTGAGATCAAAGGTGAAAAGGGAGAGAGTCATGAAGGTCATGAGAATAGTGAACCTCAAAAGCTCGAACCAGAACATACACAGGTTGACCTTCAGCACGCAAAGAGTGAGCCCTATCAAGGTGAAAAGCGGGTGCAAGAACAAGATCACCATGAGATTCCCACCTCATCAGTTCAGCACGATGGCAACTTGGACACTTCCGACCAATCTGACCAGATCTTAAGTGGAGAAAATGGGGTCGAATTGACCACAAGTGAACCAAGCAAAGAAATTGAGGCATCACAGCACGACCATGAAATTCATGACTTTCAAGACTCGGGCTCGGAAGGCGAAGAAACCGAATCTCATTTTGAAAGCGAAGATGAATGGGAGGGATCCGTAGAGGATGAAGAGGGACCACTTCCTTACCTTGAAACTATTCGCGAAGAATCACATGATGGACGTGTATCTCATTTGGGAGAAGACAATGAAGACGAGGATGAAGATGAAGAAATGTTGAGGGGCAGATCAACCCATCCACATTGGAAATATGAAGACATGGAAAATGATGATCATCTAAAGGAAGAAAGCGCTTTTCAGCCTGCTGAGACAACAAAGGATGACTCTCACGATTTACGTTCTCATGAGGTTGCTGCTGCAGAATCATCGATTCTGCCTATCATCGATAATAATGAAGAACACTGGGATTCTGCAGATTTAGTTCTAGAAACGGAGCATGCAGAAAAACCAGCTAACAAAGATGCCCCGCTAGAAACTCACTACGATGAGCTAGAACACCCAAGCGATATCAATCTTGAAATTTCGAAGCCTCGATCAATAAAACGGCCACAGACTCCAATGCAACTTGTTCCTAATACTCTCGATGATGAAGTAATGGAACCGCCTCACACTATTAATGGTACAGATGAATCATTCGAAGATAACAACTCGGAAGCGCCAATAAAAAGTTTAGGTCACTCTAATGGCATAGATCTACCACGAGTATTGGAGCCGAGCCCAGTTATTAACGAATTAAATTCAAACACTGGGAACCCTGAGCAGGTGGAACAGAATTTACCAGGTCAAAATAACAATCTTACTCCAGAAGCTGCGTCTTCTCGACGTCCAATGTCACTCTACCATCGAAATGATGATTTAAGTCCAGAACATGAAGCAGTATTCTCAAGAGTTTCAAAGATCCGTAATAGCTTAACACCTTCGCCAGAGCCACAACAGTCTTCAAACAGTTTACTGAGTCCTAGATCCCGATCTGAGCGATTTCCACCCGACGAACATCGAAATTACTTGGATGCTTCTATAAACAACGCATATAATGGAGGGGTATATTCTACGATGCCGGATGACGACCAGCCTCAAAACGATTACCGAATCCAATTGAACGCCAATAACGGTCGTACCAGATCTCACACCGTCGATACTGTTCCATCTTTCGAACATTATGCATCAGATGATGGTGACTCGGGACCTCCGACTCCACCACAACAACCACAATACTCAGATCCTGTATCTCAACAATCTCATATTGGGCAAATGTTAACGACAGACTTCCAAACTTCTGGAGGATGGTCAATTCCACATGATGATATCCATGCTGAATCAACAAATCAAGACCAAGACCAAGACGAAGTAATAAAATCTCCCAACCTTCGAGAAGTCGAATTCGATCCTTTAAATCAACAAGAATATAAATCTCCGATACCAAGTCCAGCACACTCATCGTCGTTCAATGTAAGCAACGTACGCTTTGATCAAGAATATCCTCACACTTTGTCATCAAATTCATCCTCGCTTTTGCCGCCTGAAAAGATCTTGGGCTCGAATGCACCACCTTCAAACTTCTCCTTTGCATCTCGCAACCCCCCCGCTTCTGCTCAAGCCGAAGAAACACCAACTTCGCAATTACAGCCAAACCTCCACTCCGTTCCTCAGACACAATCAGAAGACCTTCACAAAGCTGCAAATCAAGAGAAAGAAATTGAATCCCCACAACGTAACCCACGACCAGCTAGTTCTATCTTCGCCAGAACCCGCTCACTATTCGAATCAGCAGGAACCAACGATCCAAGCCCACTCTCAAAACAAAGACCCTTATCAGGCATGAGTATCTTCCACGTCACGCCACCCTCCCGCTCAACACCTTCCCCTATAGCCATTCAAAACCGTCCCCACAGTCAATCAGTCTCCGGTCTCCGTAGCGTCTCCGGCTCTCAGAAATCAAATCTTTATCCCTTGGACAATGGAAACACAAATGCAGACTATGATCCAAATACTGATGCAGATTTTCTGCCAAAGAGTTTGGATGATGATGGGAGATTGCCTAGTCCGGCTTATGGCTTACCCGGCCATAGGAGTAGTGGGAGTTTCGATAAGGCGAGAGATCTACATGGGGATGAAGATGATCCTTATCATTCACAAAAGGGGTCGAAAGCGAGTGGGGATTGGATGGCTGGTTTGCCAAGCATGACGTCGAGAGGAGCGATGGCAGAGGATGAACCATTATTGAGAGATGAGGATTGACTTGTTCAATCTACGTTTATTCCGACGGTAAGGAAACGACCGAGGATTCCAAGTAATAAGAAATGGAGAGTAGGCAAGATAGGAAGTGCTGGAGCGAGAAACAGGAAGGAAGAGGGGAAGCGGACAGTGATTGGGGATTGGAAGTTAGCATTTGTATGGGTAGAAGGATGGAGGGAGAGAATAAGGAGAGCGGGAGATTTAGTGGAAAAGGAGAGGTTTGGGGGGAAGTGGGAGGGAGAAATCAAGAGGATTGAAGTGGGATGGTTAGATGAGGAGGTGGGAAGAATGGGAAGATAAACAAGCGAGCTGGAGGTTTGGATAGGGGCTTGCGCTTCTTCGATGGTAACGATGGTATTGGGGAATTTGGTGACGGTGCTACATAACTACATCGATATTTGCTTGTGTCTTAGACGTTATGGTCTCTGAGCTATCGGGCATTAGATGCGAAGTAGGCAACTTTGACTCCATTACGATTTCCATTTTAGCCCTCGTGACTTTCACGTGATCAATGAAACACCTTGTCACGCTCCGGCCCTCCTAGTTAAACAGCAACAACGTCTGACCTGTGTACACGGAGACCTACCATTACGTAAAGTAACTAATTCATAATATAGGCAGAGATATACGGGTACTTGAATAATTTCTCAGTGTAACACCAAAAGAACGAAATTTAATCACCAAGTATGCAGGCGTTTGAAGCGTTTCAGCCTTTATGCAGTTTGCGCAGTTTGGGTGGTCATCAACCTTTCGAGAGATACCGAAACGTAATGAGATGATCTGGAGTGTGGAGATTGGTCGTCGGTCGGTAGTTATTTGTTTGGGTAGGGGGATTGGTATGAACGGGTAGAAAGAATTTTGGACGAATAGCTAGGAGACTTGGCTCTGGGAAGCTGCAGGGTCAGGGCAAAAGGAAATTCTGCAAGATGAATGTGTTGGGATAATATCCAAAAACACGCCTTTTAATATCGGCTTGTTATAACAGATGGGGATTTGACTGTTTAGCTTACTAAAGGAAATATGAGCTATTATGAGTCATGCAGGGTATCACTTGAAGACTAGACTCAAAGTAAGCTCCGTGACTGGGGCATACAGATTCTAAAAAAACAGTCAAAAAAGGAATTTATGGTCTCACTACAAGTTTCTTTTGATTCCTTGATTCTATCCAAGATATCTCGAGACTTTTGGGAATCTTACCCCACCTCGATCTAAATGTATGCAGAAACCACTTGGCACCTCCACTCCAACAGCCTTGCATAATGACAGGTCAACAAACCAGATTTCCTTGTTGAGCGAGCTCTGGTTATGACTCATATAATAGAAACTGCATGATGCGATAGCTGAGATGCGAGTGGCGATCATGGTGATGTGCATAAATTTATCAATTGAAAAACATCTCCGAGGAGATTGCCCAAGTTTCTTTTAAAGTTCTATTCAGCAGAACTGAAAGATTGAATATAGCGAAATATATAAGAATAGCGAAATAGTTTGATATATATATATATATATATCAAATTTTACGCCTTTGTATATTGAGCCAAATATCCTCCCAATGAAACAAACCACCTAAGATAACGCGTCTAGGAGGACCAGGCGTTTCTTTACTTGGCGTACACAATTCGAAGTTATAATTGCGGAAAAACTAATGAATGCAGCAGGAGTTAGTTTGTGTCACAAAAGTATCCAATTGTTGAATTGCTTGATTGCATGAACAAAATAGAGACGCACCATCAAGGGAAATTTCATCAGTTCCATCATCGCGAGATCCTTGCCTAGACAAACTCTCGATCCATATCCCCAAGTAAAATTGTACTTGTCAAACACCTTTGCCTTTTCACCGCCATTCTCAAGCCATCGGTCGGGCCGGAACAGATCGGCATCTTCGCCGTATATTTCCTTGTCTCGGTTTGTAAGGTAAGGGGAACAGGTAATTTCCGTACCGATAGGGATGACTTTACCGTCAATTATCAGAGGAGGTTGATCGGCCGTTACTTCTCGAGGAAAAAGTGCTGGCGAGGGTGGATTGAGACGAAGGGATTCTTTGACGCAGGATACGTAGAATGGGCAGTGTTTCGATACCTCTGCTGCTTTCGGAATTGGTTGCGAGAGATTTCCACTGGCAAATACAGTATCGATTTCCGTCATCATTCGGGCATAAGCGTCAGGGGATGAGATGATATCGGTTAGGAAGGAGCTAAAAGCTGTGCCTGTAGTATCAGCTCCCGCAAGTAGTATAACCAACACTTCGGCTTCCATATCAGATTTGTCCATAGGCATTCCTTCGGGTGTTTTGGCCTCGAAAAATCTTCAAATTTTTCATGATTAGCTGGATAATGACGATTTTTGATGATGTAAAACTACTCACGATTGTAGAAGATCTACTCGATCTCTTCTCTTTCCTTCCTCGATTTCTGTAATTCTGGCACCAATGATCTTGTCCCTCCATCTGATCAGTTGACCCATGCCATTCTTCATATCCGGTGTTACAGCGAACAATCCCCCTAGTGGTCCCGTCGTCAGCCATTCTACGAAGGGGTATAGATGTGCGATGACACCGAAAATGTGAATTCCTTCGTGTACACTTTCGATCAACCCACCCACATCTTCTCCCTTCTCCACGAAGCCCAAAGCTTGACCAAAACCCACTTCGCTGATTGTATCAAATGCGACATAGGTAGCCCAGCTTCCCATATCTATAGGCACCTGAGTCTGAGCGAAGAGTTCGGTTAGCTTTGTAAGCCAGGCTAGAATCATCTTATCAACGAGGGGCTCAGCTTTGACTATCTTGGAGTATGAGTAAGGAGGTGCGACGAGTCTTCGCCGGTATGCGTGTGCTTGATGGCCGCGTATAGTGAAAATGGGGATAGAGGCGAAAGCTCCATTACTGTAGAACCTGGACTTGACTGCAGTGCGGTGATAGATGAGGGGTAGAGCAGATGATGATTTGACTAGAAGGGTCGTTGGAGAGATACGCAGTACAGGAGCTATACCAGTAATAATTAGCATGCAAATGGGTAAAACCAAGTGAGAATAAGTACCTTTAGTTTTTTCGAATAGATTCTGGTATGTCGTCAATTCGGTTTGATTGTAGCTCTGATAAGTATACCAAAGTCGCGTAACGGTTCCCCAAAAAGGACCTGGGTATTGTCTAAGAGGGTGGAAGAAACGATAATAGATAATTTGATAGAGAAAAGGGACAAGAATCCAGGCAAGTAGTAACCAAAGCAGATTGCCAAGATTCAAGTAAGAAGAGACTCTCGCTGATATGGTTTGAGAGTTCTCCATGGCGACGAAAGTTAGCCGTGACAATTTGAACGTCTCAAGATCTTTTACTCGAGTAGATAATCTTCACGAGTAAACTGAATATCCTTCTTAAAACGTTTTTGTTGGAAATTTTAAAAAGAGGTTTGTCTCGAAACCTTTATATACAGATTATTTTGTAGGAAGAGAGTTCTTGAAATATCAATAATCGGTATTTTCTATACACAGCAGTAGCACACCAAACGCATTCCAACTCATCTCAAACGCCTCAATCGGGAAATGATACATAATTTACCCCGCCCTTGGAATTTAGAAACCCAGGTAGCTATCTTAAAAGTTAAAGTTGACGTTGAATGAATTCAATTAATTTAAGGTGGTGATGACTCGAAATGACGATTCTACTAGCATAATTAAAGAGGCTTAGACACAACTTCCCTCAACTCCATTTTACCTACCACCCTCCAAGAGGGAGTAGGCAATTTTAATTAGTTCCTAATTTTAGATGGTGGTTGTGTGGTGAGGTGCGTGAAGTGGGGGCAAGTGGGGGGGGCTTGTAAGCCTACGATTAATGTACTCGTAGATAGGTGTCAATTTCAAAAAGTACGACACAATAAGAGTTCAAAGAATCATTATTATTGAGACTATTCCTAAGAGTAGTATCAAATTTTATGAACTAGTGCATTTGTCATTATGACTCACTATTTTTGACAACAGGTACTAATCCACAGCGATTTGCTTCGTTCGTTATTCGCTTCTGAAAGGAGTCTTATCTACGCCGATTTTCAGCTTCATACTAATAGGGCTCGAAAGACGAAACTTTTACGCATCTCATACCGTTGAGTGATTACAGGTTACCCGGACGATTGAATCCCCAAATCAGGCTTGACAATTTAATATCAACCTTAACGATCATCGAATCTTTATGAAATCTGAGGCAGTGGCCTGGCAACTAATTCGCATCGATATCAGACTATACATTCATAACAACATATCACCAAGAGAACTCAAGACTGCCGCGAGATCGATTCATATATTTCTATGGTTAGTCTAAATACTTTACGCCGGCTTGGGGAATCTCTGTTTAATAGTATTTTCCACGCCAATAGAATGCTGGGGGTGTACCTCCAATGCATACGAGATCAAGTGTCGAAAAAATAAACGAATTCGTGGCAAGTCTGAGCGAATGATGTGAAGAAT